ATGCCCCCCACTGGGTCTGGGCCTATAACCTGGGCATGTGCCTATATGCCCTGACTGGGAATTGAACTGGCAACCTTTTGGTGCACGGATCGATGCTCAACCATTGCTGGGCCGGTTTTGCCTGTTTCCATGGAGTCCTTCTTTGGCATTACAAACTAGGCAAAGAAACAGAAGATGCATAAAAGGACCAAGTGGAAATTAAACAATTGAAAAATTCAAAAGCCAAACTGCAAACTCACTGGGTGAGCTCAATAGATTAGATATGAGAAAGAAAATAAATCAGTGAATTCAAAGAAAGATTGAAGGAAATTATAATCAATCTGAGCAACAGAGAGAAATAAATTGGGGGGTGGGGGAATAGAGATGGAAGCCTGAAGGACCTGAGAGGCAAAAACAAGATACCTACCATGCATGTTACTGAAGTCCCTGAAAGGAAGGAGAAAGTGTGGGGATGAAAAAAGTATTTGAAGAATTAATAATTAAAAAGTTCCTAAATTTGGCAAAGGACCTACACCAACAGATTCAAAAAGCTAAGCAAACACCAGACAGCATAACCCTCACCCCAAATTTCATGCCAGGTTATACCCTAAACAAACTTCTGAACTCTGTATATAAAGAAAAAAAAATAGACACTCTGAAAGCAGCTTGACAGAAAAGATGCATAACAGATAGGAAACAATGGGTGAAATGGAAGCAGATTTCTCATATGAAACCAAGGACAACAGGGAATGACATGCTTTTCAAGTACTAAAAGAAAACTGCTGAGCCTGGGCTGGGGTGGCTCAGTTGGCTGAAGAACCCTGTATGCCAAGAGGTGGCAGGTTCAATTCCCAGTCAGGGCACATACCCAGGGTGCAGGTTCAATCCCTGATTGCGATGTGTGCAGAGGCAACTGATCAACATTCCTCTCACATCAATGTTTTGCTCCCCCTCTCCAATCAATGAAAGAAAACAAAGTTAAAAAAAAGAAAGAAAACTGCTGATCCCGAATCCTATATCCCACAAAAATATCCTTTGGGAATGAAGGGGACATAAAAACATTTTTAAATGAAGAAAAAAAAAAAAAACACGTTTGTTACCAGAAAGACCTATCCTAGAAGAGTATAGGAGTTAGTGAAAAAGAAAGGAAACGTTAATAGAAGAAATCTTGGGATTTCAGGAAGAACAAACAATGGAATGGGTAAAAAAGAAAAGGCAAACAGATTATGCTTCTCATGAGTTCTGTAAAATTTGTTTGAAAGGTGAAACCAAAACCAAAACAAAACCAAAAACACCCAATATGGTGCTCAATGGATGAAGAGAAAATACTTGACAATTTATTAAAGAATGGGAATGTAAAGAGACCCAATGAAAGTAAGGTTTCTATATGGAAAAGTGCTAAAATGTTGATGTTGTAGGCTGTGGTAAGTTATGTATGTACAATACAATACCTAGACTAATTACTAAAATACATAAAGATATACTCAAAAACAGATAAATCAAATGGAATTCTAAAAATAACCCACAGAAAATCAAAACAACAACAGGTGAACAATAAACAGGAAACAAAAACAAAAATCATAAAAGGGAAGACTTAACCCCTAACATAAAAAAAATTTTTAATTTAAATGGTATCTACGCATATCATTTTAAACCAGAAATTGGTAAAATGGATAAAAAGAATGACCCAAGTATACAAGTATATGCTAGTCACAGAAACTTACTTCAAAAGTAATGATATAGATATGGTTGAAAATGAAATTATGGAAAAATATAAACCATGCAAACATTAACCAAAAAATGCATTAATGACTCTATTAGTATCAGATAAAGTATATTTCAAAGCAAATTAACAGAGCAAAAAGGAGCATTATATAATGATAAAAGGGTCAACAGACCAACATGACACAGCAATCCTAAACATGCATGCACCAAACAACAAAGCTTTGAAATACATAAAGCAAAAACTTAAAGGAGGAACACACACAATTCCACTATTATACTGCCGGACTTCAATACCCGTCTTTCAGCTATTGATAGAAATACTACACAGAAAATCAACAAGGATGTAGAAAATATGAGTAACATCATCAACCAACAGGATTGTGTAGACATTTAAAGAAGCCCCATCCAACAGTAGAAACCACATTTTTTAAGCAGCCTTATAGAGATTCATCAAGATACACTATATCATGGATCATAAAATAAAACACAACAAATTTAAACAGCCAGATCAAACATTCAACAAACTAGAAATCAATAACAAAAAGAAAGCATGAAAAATGCCAAACACTAAAAAAGTAAACAACATACTTGTAAATAATCCATGGTTTAGAGAGGAAGTCTCAAATGAAGAAATATTTAGAACTGAATGAAATGTAATAAAATGTATTAAAACTTGTGAGGTGAAGCTAAAAACAGTGCCTTGAGGGAAAATTATAGAATTTAATGCTTACATAAGACACATAATATGAAGTAAAAAACTAAGCTCCCACCTCCAGAAACTAGAGGAAAATACAACCAAAGCAAGTAGAAAAAACAATATAATTTTTTTAAAAATCTATGAAATTGGGAATAGAAAAGCAACAGAACAAGAACAGATATAAAGTGCTGGTTCTTTGAAATGATAAAAAAAATTGATAAATACTAAGAAGACTGACAAAGATAAAAAGAGTTGAAACATTTCCAATATCAGGAATAAAACAGGTTATATAAACAAATTCTACTGCCATCAAAATAATAAAGGAATACTTGAAGCAAATAAGAAAATTTACTTGAAATAGAATAATTCCTAGAAAAGGACAATGAGAATTCATCTAATATGAAGTAGATACTCTAAATAGTTCTATCCATATTAAATAAAATAAATACATAATTAAAAAGCATCCAAAAGAATAACCTCCAGGACCAAATGATTCACTGCAGAATGCTGCCAAACATTAAAAGAACAAATAAAACCAATTCTGTACACTGTCTTCTAAACAACAGAAGAAGGAACAACTTTCAACACATGTTGGGAGGCCAGTATCACCTACACAACCAAACCAGACATTGATAGACAAAAACAAAACAAAACAAAGCCCGAGGATAAAAGTGAGAAAAACAAAACAAAACCTAACTATTATTATCTTTCATGAAAGGAAATCTTCCTCAATAAAAATACTAGCATACTGAATAATATATAGAAATAATTAGACTCCATGACCAAGTGGGACTTATTCCAAGGATACAAAACTGGTTCAAGATTTTAAACATGGCGGTGGGGGCGGGCGGGTGGCAGGGAGTAGAGGTGGAAAAGGGTATAGAGAGGGATAAATGGTGATGGAAAAAAATAAAAATAAAAAAAGAAAGAAAAACATTTAAAACATCTTATCAATAGGCTACAGGGGAAAAGCAACCCACATAGTTATATCAACTGATAGAGGAAAAGCATTTGACAAAATTCAACACCCAATCAAAATTATGAGGAAAAAAAAAGCCCTCAGCAAATTAGGAACATGGGAAACCTTCTAAATTCTATGAAGAAAACTTTAAGACTAACATCATACTTAATGATGAAAACCTGAATGTTTTCCCTCTAATATGAGGAACTAGGCAAGAATATCTTTCTCACTACTAGTATTCAACATTATATTGGAAATCCTAGCTAGCGTAGTAAAACAAGAATAAAGAAAAGGTATACAGATTTAAAAGAAAAAATAAAACTATCTCTATTTGCAAATTATACTTCCATGTAGAAAAATCCCAAGCATTCTATCAAATAAATGGTTACAGCTCAGCAAGTTTACAGGATGCCAAAATAACATCCAAAAATCATTATATTTGTATACTACCAAAGATTTATAAAAATTGTACAAGACCTGTTATTGAAATTTATGAGAAAAGTAATGAAATAAACAACTTAAATATAGAGACATACCATGTTAAATAACTGGAAGACCCAACACAGGAAAGTTTTGTATTCTCAACAAACTAATCTGCCAATTTAACTCAACTTCTATCAAAAGTTGATACTGTTTTTGGTAAAGTCAAGCATATCTAAAACTTTCTATAGAAACTCAAAGTAACTAGCAGTGATAAATAAGTTTTAAATAAAAAATATGGACAAGAATCACTTTACCCAATTAAAAAATTTACCATATAACTATAGCAAACAAGTAAACCAGTAGTACAGGACCAAGAAAATGTTTAAGTGTTAGGTCTTTAAATCCACATGATGAAAAGATTTTTTAAAAATCAAAGCCTTAAACAGTGTTAAGTAAAATGTGACTATTCCTATGTGTATTATTATCTCTTCAAACAGAAAAGTACTTGATGGTTCAAGCCTTCCTATTTCTCAAAAAAAGTAAAGCTCCTTAAGAGCAGAGACAATGGCCCTGGCTGGTGTGGCTCCAGTGGCTGGAGCATCATCTGTACACCTAAAGATGGCAAGTTCAATTCCCACTCAGGGCACATACCTAGGTTGCAGGTTCCATCCCTGGTAAGGGTACTTTCAGGGGACAACCAATCAATGTTTCTCCTTAACATCGATGTTTCTCTCTCTCACCAATAGAGACATGTCCTCAGGTAAGGATTTTTTTATAAAGTACAATGTTTTAGAACAAAGACGTTCAGTCAGTTTCCAGATCTGCCTTAGACTGTCTCTGGACACTGGACAGCAATGAATGTATATACAAGACACATAAAGACCCTAGGTCCTTTACCTCTCCAACAAAACTCTTCTGCCAACTAAACTAGGAAATCCATGACAAAGCGCCACAGGCATGGCAAGGAGTCTGAAAGAAACTGGTTGTAGTTCATTTTCTTTTCTAAGTCTCTCTCTTCTTTTCAAAGAAAAAATTCCTGAGATAACACTGCAGTGTAAACTAAGGAGAAAGATGTAGATGAAAGTTTTCTAAGTGCCTAATAACCACTGGGTCTCTCTCCTGGATAAATTCTCAGATGTAGAATAAGGCTCGGTGCAGGGTCAATTTCCAATATGACTCATTAGAGGACAACTGGTATCTTGCAACAGGTTCTCTCATATGGAAGAAAATTGTGGGGTTTCTCTTTGGTATGAATGATTAGAGTCTGAGTAAGATGTTTCTTCTGGCAAAACATTTTCCACAGTGTTTACATTCAAAAAGTCCTTCCCCAACAGGAGTTCTTGGAGGTTGACTGAGGACTGTCCACTTGAGAAGGATCTTCCCACTTCTGTTACACTGAGAGGGTTTCTCCCAGTATGAACCCTTTGATGCTGACTGAGGGATGAACTACGACTGAAGGCCTTGCCACACTCACTGCATTCATAGGGCTTCTCTCCAGTGTGGATGATGGAGTGTCGAATGAGGTTAGTGCTCCAGCAGAAGGTTTTCCCGCACTCCATGCACTCATAGGGCTTCTCTCCACTGTGAATCCGCTGGTGCCTCGTGAGGCCTGACCTGCGGTTAAAGGCCTTCCCACACTCACTGCACTCATAGGGCTTCTCTCCAGTGTGGATGCTGAAGTGCCGAATGAGGTCTGCCCGATTGCTAAAGGCTTTCCCACATTCCTTGCATTCAAAAGGTTTTTCTCCAGTGTGGGCCCTCTTATGCAAGATAAAAGTGGAGCAGTGGGTGAAGGCCTTTCCACACTCACCACACACATAAGGCTTCTCCCCGGTATGGATCCGCTGGTGCCTCTTGAGGTACGACCTGTGGTTGAAGGCCTTCCCACACTCGAGGCACTCAAAGGGCTTTTCCCCAGTGTGGATGACATAGTGGTGAATGAGGGCAGCACTCTCACAGAAGGCTTTCCCACACTCACTGCACTCATAGGGCTTCTCCCCAGTGTGAGTCTGCTGGTGCCACATGAGGTATGACCTGTGTTTGAATACTTTTCCACACTCGAAGCACTCATAGGGATTCTCACCACTGTGGATGATGTAGTGACGAATAAAACCTGGCCTATCTCGGAAAGCTTTTCCACATTCTTTACACACAAAGGGTTTTTCTCCAGTATGGCTCCTATTATGCAAGACAAAAGTGGAGCGGTGGGTGAAGGCCTTTCCACATTCATTGCACTTATAGGGCTTTTCTCCACTATGAATCCGCTGGTGTTGTGTAAGGTGTGACTTGCGGTTGAAGGCCTTCCCACACTCCATGCATTTATATGGCTTCTCGCCTGTGTGGACCATGTGGTGTTGAAGGAGGTAAGTGCTCTTACTAAAGGTTTTCCCACACTCGGTGCATTCATAGGGCTTCACTCCAGAGTGAATCCTCTCATGTCGAGCAAGGAGGCGTTTCTTGTTAAAAACTTTCCCACATTCATTGCATTTAAAGATATTTTCCTCTTCCTGAATCATGTGATCTTTACCTAATCTGCACGAGTCATGGTCAAGGAGAGCACCTCCTGGAGGAGCTGGCTCCTGCACAACCCCTGAACCTACACCATTAGCTGTCCCTAAGCCGCCATGTTCAGAACTTGATTTCCTAGGAAGCTTTTCCATCTGCAGGTATATCTCTGATTTCAACTGTCCTTGCACTTCCAACGGCCCATTCTGATCCTTGGTTTGGTCCACCTGGAGGTCTTCTGGACACTCAGCTCCTTGCATTAATTGTTCCTGAAATGAGGCTCTCTCAGATAGGGCAGGCTCACAAGTAGTAGGTTCTGTGGTCTTGGGTTTTTCCTTCTCACCTGAAAAAAATCCAATACACAACAGGGCCTCTTAGTAATGGCAACATAAAATAAGCCCTACATAGTTTAGGCTGAAGAGATGACTCAAGACAAGGCCCAGCCACACTAGAAAGACTAACTATATGATTAGAGGGTTGGAACCTTGAGCTATATGATAAGAACTGGGCTTCTGGGAAAAGATAGAGGGAGGACAGGAGACTGAGTCATGTAGGTAACTAGCCAATCAACTGTGCTTATGAAATAAGAGCCAATAAAACTATGAACCCTGAAGCCAGGTGAAATTACTAGGCTGGAAATATTTCATGCATGTATTGTCAACATCAACTCTAGGAGTTTAATGAATCCCTGAGGACATGGCAGCTTATGTTTGGAAACACTCCAAAAACTCTCTGAAAACACATAACACAGACCTACTAGACAAAGATTTTTTTTTTGTCCTCACCCAATGATATTTTTCCATTGATTTCCAGGTAGAATGGAAAGGAGGGAAGGAGACAGAGAGAGAAACATTGACGTGGGAGAGAGACATTGTTTGATTACCTCCTGCATGACTCCAACCAAGGCTGGGGATCAACCTGCAACCCAGGTACATGGCCTTGACTGAAAACCTAACCTGCAACCTCTCGGTCCACAGGCTGATGCTCTAACCACTGAGAAAACCTGCCAGGGCCAGACAAAGACTTTTTAAAAAACCATGTTGTCTACAGCCATACCACACTGAAAGCACCTGATCTTGGAAGCTGAGGTCAGGCCTAGTAAATATGGGGATGGGAGACCACCTGGGACCACAAGGTACTGTAGGCTTAAAATAATAATAAAAAATTTAAGAAACCATCTTAAAGAAGTTCAAAGAACTGACAGTCTTCGCGGAGAGCCGCCGTGGTTTCCTGCTTCAACAGTGCTTGGACGGAACCCGGCGCTCGACCCATCCCCCTCAGCCACCTGACCGCCTTCGGCCACCTCCTCACCGCGCCTCGGACCTCCCCAAGGCCCCGCTCCAGCGCCGCGCAGCCGCCCCTCTTAGCCGCCGCCATGACGTCCACCGCGTCCGCCTCGCAGGTGCGCCAGAACTACCACCAGGACTCGGAGGCCGCCATCAACCGCCAGATCAACCTGGAGCTCTACGCTTCCTACGTCTACCTGTCCATGTCTTACTACTTTGACCGCGATGATGTGGCTTTGAAGAACTTTGCCAAATATTTTCTTCACCAATCTCATGAAGAGAGGGAACATGCTGAAAAACTGATGAAGCTGCAGAACCAACGAGGTGGCCGAATCTTCCTCCAGGATATCAAGAAACCAGACCGTGACGACTGGGAGAATGGGCTGAATGCGATGGAGTGTGCATTGCACTTGGAAAAAAATGTGAATCAGTCACTACTGGACTTGCACAAACTGGCCACTGACAAAAATGACCCTCACTTGTGTGACTTCCTTGAAACTCACTACCTGAATGAGCAAGTGAAATCCATCAAAGAACTGGGTGACCACGTAACCAACTTGCGCAGAATGGGGGCCCCTGAAGCTGGCATGGCAGAGTATCTCTTTGACAAGCACACCCTGGGAGACAGTGACGAGAGCTAAGCCTTAGGCTGGCTTCCCATAGCCAGGGGGGTGACTTCCCTGGTCACCAAAGCAGTACGTGCATGTTGGAGTTACCTTTACCTTTTCTATAACTTGTACCAAATCATCCACTTACATCTTTTCATTTGTACCATTCCTTCAAATAAAGTAATTTGGTACCCAAAAAAAAAAAAAAAAAGAAGTTCAAAGAACTGAAGGAAGATATGGAAAAAGTCAAGAAAATTATATATATATATATAATGGAAATATTAATAAAAATCTAGAAAACCTAAACAGAAACAAAAAAGAACTCTGAAACATAAAAGTACAATACGTAAAATAAATTTACAAGAGGGACACAAAGATTTGAACAAGAAGAATTGGCAAACTTGAAGATATGAGAATGGAATCACAGCTGAGGAACAGAAAAAAAGATTTAAGAAAAGTGACCAGAGCTTAACAGACTTGTAATATACCCCCCAAACAACCCAACAACAAGGACACCATTATTACTAGCATTTTCCAGGGACCAACCAAGTGTAGCAGACTCCATTCACCAAACTCTGCGCCTCATTGGACACACAGCCTCGCCACACCTACCAGCCCCCCACACCCAAATATATTCAAACACCTAGTTCTTGTCAGTGGGATGTGAGGGGAACTGGTGTTTGTGGGAATGGGTGTGACATCCTCCCTTCCTCTCTCCATTCTCCTATGCCAACTAGGACAATCTGAAAGTCACATGTTGACAACAGAACCAACACTGGTCCTTCAGTGAGAGTATGGTACCAAGTTCCCTGCTGACCCCCATGGACCCCTGCTGTGAGTAAGAAAAAGAGCTTCCATATGCTGAGCACTGAGATTCTGGAGTATGTCTGATCTGGAAGCTAGTTTTCACTTATACAAAGATACAATGAGATCGAGCAACTTTGCTACAGCCACAGAGCTGGTGATCAGCAAGCCAGGCCATGAGGTCAGAGGGCCCACAAGTGAAAGGGCTCCATGGCTTCCAAACCACCAGACAGGGTACAGCAAGAGTCTTCCCCAGGGATTCACAGATAGTGGTCTCCTGAAGGTCTCAAAGCTGCAGGGTCTTCCATTTGCCCACAGCTTGGCTCCTACCTGGACAGGTGCTTTGGGAGAGGTCTTTCTTCACCATCCATAGCTTCTGCCCATGTTTCAGCTGAGAGATCAGCTCAGGTCTGGGGACAGGACACCCTATTCATGGAGAAAGAGGACATAAGGATTAAAAAAAAACCTTTTTTTTTTTGACACTTATGAAAACATATGGATTTATGTGAAAGGAAATAAAACCTCTCAATCTAGTCTGGGACTTTAGGATGTGGACAAGACTCAGAAGGAAGCTGCTGCCATCCACACAAAATGTTGATATGTGACTTGAAACCAAAGATATGCTATACTGACAGAATTTTTATTCCTAATACTAAGTAAAAAACTAATATATAGAGAGTATAATCATAGTCAAAGAACTGTATCAAGGAATTTAAATGTATTATATAATTTTTTAAAAATATGTTTTTAGTGATTTTGGAGAGAGAGAGAGAGGAAGGGAGAGAAAGATAGAAACAACAATGTGAGAGAGAAATATCGATTGGCTACCTCTTGCACACCCCCTACTGGGGATAGAGCCCACAATCCAGGCATGTGTCCTGACTGGAGATGGAACCCACACCTTAATGTTTTGGGACGATGCTCTCACCAACTGATCTACCCCAGCCAGGATCTAGGTTTTTTTTTGAGACCCTAAGCAAAAGTTTTATATTGTTCTTCCTACAGACCACAGACAAAATGAGGATTCTATCTCAGGATTTCCTTAGTAAGTACGTACTATGATCAACACCACTTTATAGATGAAGAAACCAAGGCTGTAGTAGATAACATGAGTTGGCAGAGAGAACAGAAGCGGTGAATGGTGGAGCCAACATGAAACTCAGGTCTAGCCCTCTCTGTTGCCTGTGTTGTTTTACCACAAAGCTACACAACTCTGCACCAGAAGGTGCTGAGTCCACAAGAGGATGATGGGAGTCCCGATGAGAGTAACAACAGTAGTGGTAGCAGCAGTGTCCTCAGCTGCTAACCTGCACACAACCTGATCACACCAGGCATTGTTCTGAGCCTTTTCCACAATTTACCCATTTACCCTTGCCACACTCCTGGGAAGTAGATACCAGATCACCCCATTTTACCAATAAGTACACTAAGTCACAGACAGGTCCAGTAACTTGCCCAAGGCAACACAGTTTTTAAGCAACAGAGTTGGATTAAACACCAGCATTCTGGCTCCAGACATCTGTCTCCCAAACACTCCGCTAGGGAAGAAACAACAAACACACTTGCATGAGGCCAGCAGCCTGAGACCAAGTGGACGATAGTGGTGAGGCAGGGACGTGAGCATGAGGATCCACCCTCAGAGAACAGGCTGGAGGAGGGGCAGACTCATGACTGTAGACTTCAGCAATTCATGAATTACTAAAAAATAATAAAACTGAGAATCCCACACGGTAACACAGTCACACACGGAAATTTACAGAAACATCAAATAACATCTTCAACATTTCTTTTCTTATTTATTTATTAATTTGTTTTTGTTACAGATGTTTCTTATTTTTCCCCCATTGATACCCTCCTCCCCTTCCCCGCCGCCTCATCCCCAGCTCTGTTGTCTATGTTTATTGGTCGTGCATACATGCATGTAAGTTCTGTGGTTTATCTCTTTTAACATCTCTCAAAAACAGGATTACTATTAAAAAAGAAAATACAGAGGACAGCTTCAAAAGTGAAGGTGCATGTTCTGAACTGAGTAAGTTAAGCTGTATGAGTGACTCACTGCAGTGGCCGAGTTTTCCTGACTTAGGTAAGGACCGGAGCTAGGAAAATCAAATGGCTCAAGCAGAAGTGCCTGCAACTGGCCTGAGATGCAGCCAGCACTCCAAGGACCTGGGCAAGCTGTCACTGTTATTAACCACTTTTCTTAAGTGACCCAGTTATTTTTATTACATTCCTTTAAAAAGGGAGTCCTATATCACTCTGGTAAATGGGAAACAGAGTCACTTTCCTTGAGGCAAGTCAACCTATAAGTACATCAAGAAAATCAGCAAAAAGACCGGTGTGGCTTAGTGGCTGAGCATCGACCCATCACCAAGAGGTCGCTGGTTTGATTCCCAGTCAGGGAACATGCCCAAGTTGTGGGCCCGATCCCCAGTGATGGGCATGCAGGAGGCGGCCAATCAATGTTCTCTCTCATCAATGTTTCCATCTCTCCCTCTCCCTTCCTCTCTCTCCAAAATCAATAAAGGACAAAAAAAGGTAAAAAATCAGCAACACCCTGTCTGGTGTGGTTCAGTTGGTTGAGCATTTTCCCCTGCACCAAAAGGTCTCCAGTTTGATCCCCAGTCAGGACACATGTCCAGGTTGTGGGTGTTCGATCTCCTGTAGGCAACCAATAGATGTTTCTGACATCACCGTTTCTCTCTCCCTTCCTTTCTCTCTAACATCAATGAAAACACATTAAAAAAGAAAAAGGAAGCCCTGGCCAGTTTGGCTCAGAGGTTGGAGTGTCGGCCTGCGGTCCAGAGAGACCCGGGTTTGGTTCCCACTAAGGGCACGTACCTCGGCTGCAGTTTGTCCCCGGCCCTGGTTGGGTTGTGTGGGTGGCAACCACTCGTGTCCCTTTCGTGTCAATGTCCCCCCCCCTTACTCTATCTGAACAAAAAATGGAAAAATGTCCTCAGGTGAGGATAAAAAAAAAAAGAAAAAGGAAAACTAACACCAGTTGGAAAGCAGGGGATAAGATTTAGCTCTGAACCCAGATTTTCTCTCAACAACAATCAGGAGGTAGAAAAAGATAAAGGAACAGCTTCCTCAGGGTGTCTTTCAATGCCCTTGATGAAGCATCCATGCACCCTCTAAATAGGATTTTCCACCCTCTGCATGACTGACATTTAGGTCCAGGGACAACAGTTTGGTGATAGCCAGAGGGGAAAAGGGTTGGGGAATAGATGGAGGTGGGAAAAAAAGAATAGTTTATTGATTTTTGAGATACAGAAACATCGATGTGAGATTGTAACATCAACTGGCTGCCCCCTGCATGCCCTCTACAGGTGATGGAGCCCACACCCGGGCATGTGCCTTGACCGGGAATCAAGCCTACAACCTTTCAGTGCACGATAGGATGCCCAACCAAGCCACATTGACCAGGGCTCCTGAGACCTTCTTGATCAGCCAGGTCTGGAGCCAGTCAGTGGAATAAGGAAGTGGCAGGTATCCCCACTGCAACAGAGAGGACTTACCCAGAGACACCAGGAGCCTGCAGTTTTCCAGCATCACCTCCTGGTACAGTGTCCTCTGGGCGGGGTCCAGCTGTCCCCATTCTTCCTGGGTGAAAGTCACGGCCACATCATCAAAGGTCACAGATACCTGGAAAGTCAAAAAGAGGTGGTGGAGTTGGCCTTAGAGCTATTGGATGGGATCAGCGATCATCTCTGCCTCATGGTAAAGCTGTAGACATCAAGGCCCAAAGCACCAAGCACCTCCTGAGGGCTGAGCTCTGTGCTGGCCTCAAGAAGGAGGTAAGCAATGTATTGGACATAACACAAAAGTGTAGAAGAGAAGCCTCCTATGCAGGAGCCATTGTAAACTGACACAAGACAATGGAAATGACATGTGAATTGTGAGACAAAGACAGGGCTCTAGGGTGTCATAAGAATGAGGAAGTAATGATAATAATATCAGTAATGGTAATAACTGATGACCTGAGCTTCACTGGTCCTGCTAGGTGCCTGCCCCATGCTGAGGGCTTCACATCAAGTCTTTTTTTTCCCCGTTACAATTGACATTCAATATTATAATTTATTTTTGGAAGAGTTGATGAAAAACTGGTATTAATCATTCTTTTTTTTAAATTTATTTATTTTTAATCCTCACCCGAGGATATTTTTACATTTATCTTCAGACAGAGTGGGAGGGAGAGAGAGAGAAAAACATCAATGTGAGAGAGACACATCCACTGGTTGCCACCTGCACAACCCCAACCAGGGCTGGGGACAACCGCAACCGAGGTACATGCCCTTAGCGGGAACTGAACCCGGGACTCTTTGGTCCGCAGGCCAATGCTCTAACCACTGAGAAAACCGGTCAGGGCTCAATATTATTTTATATCAGTTACATCAAAGTCCTCAGCTCCTTTTTATCTATATTGAATACATTCATTGGCTTATAAAACTCACTGTCTAGCCCTGGCCGGTTTGGCTCAGCAGTTAGAGCATCGGCCTGAGGTCCAGAGAGACCCGGGTTCGGTTCCCGCTAAGGGCATGTACGTCGGTTGCAGTTTGTCCCCGGCCCTGGTTGGTCGTGTGGGTGGCAGCCACTCAATGTGTCCCTTTCACATCGATGCTTCTCTCTCTGTCTCTCTCTCTCCCTCCCACTCTACCTAAAAAAAATAAAATAAAAAATAAAAAATAAAACTCACTGTCTAGAAATATGGGAACATAAGAAAAAAATATCTGCAGTCAGGTGTCTGGCGGTCAACAGCCAGAACAATTCGCAGGGGGGTAAAATAAAAAATTCCAAACCACATGACAAGTATCCAGCTCTCAAGTAATCATTTTCACTAGTGGCTCCTGACTGCACACATGCATATGCAGTTTGCCTTGGTAATGTTACTCCCGCCACCACATTCTACACATTCTCCTCTGTGCGAAACGTCCAGCAGATGCAGGATCACAGCCCTGTGATGACCAGACCCACTCTTTAAACACAGATAATTCAGCCACTCCCCTCTCAGATGCACGCCCCATGTTGCAGATCTGTCATTTAAATGCGCCAGACATTGGCTCACGGTTTTTCACCTGTATCTTCAGTGCTCCCCTCTCTGTGCTTTCTAGCTTCATCCTCTCTATCAGTTTTCTTTAAAAAAAAAAAGAAAAAGTTTTTATTGAATTCAGAGAGAGGAAGGGAGAGGGAGAGATAGATACATCAATGAGAAACATAGATGGGGAAAAAAAGAGAAAAACATAGGTAGGCTGACTTCCGCACGCCCCCTACTGGGGACTGAGCCCCAAACCTGGGAACATGCCCTGACTGGAATGCAACTCAACCCAGCCACAGGGGTTGGGCTCTATCAGTTTTCTTGACTTAATATTTCAATTAAACACTTGGCACTTCCCAATAAACTAACTGGAATATACTTAGGGAACCCACAACATTACTCATTTCTGGTGTTGGACAAACTCATATCATGTGCAAATTTTGGACAGGTAGATAAGGATAGAACAACCAGCTAGGGCCTCCACATTTACTACCAGATGATATGTTTAAATAATATAAACTCAGTTTGTTACAGTGCCATCTGAATACACCAAGACTCCACGTTCATCCATGGTCAACCAATCCAAGAGTTAGCCAATGAATGCGTAGATGAATGGAACAACAAATCGATGTTTCTCTCTCTCTCTTAAAACAAATAAGTAAAAACTTAAAAATAATATAAACTCTCTGACATGCAAAAAAATATTCTCTCTGGTTGGTTCGGATGCATATAGAATTGCTCTGGTTGCCTTTAAGTTAGAAGTGAATAAAAGTCAGAAAAAGGAGTAGTTATTAATCAAGTCCTGGCCATTTGGGGCTGACAGGTATTAAAGTCACTGTTTAGCCTCCTGGACTGTCACTAAAGATAGTGATCTGGCTTCTGATAAGCCTGACAGAGCGGCTGGCTTCCTGCGATGCTCACTGTAGGTTAAGGGGTCGGTTTCCTGGGCAGGCAGAGGCAGGTTTGGGGTCAAAGTTCTATTTTTCTGTCTATGGTCCATTCGGATACTCAATCTCTCTCGTTTTAAGGCTGGAGATAAAGTGACAAGCCAGCTCCCCTTTAAGTAACCGACAAGGGCAAAGGGGAAGCCAATGGCTGACTTGGCCTCCACGGTGCCCAGGAGCCCTCTCCGAACCGGCGGAGAAGCTGCAGTGCCCAAACCTTCGTCCACGCACCTGCGACGGGTCCACGCACGCCGTCGCCATCGCGGGACCCCGTGGAGAGCGCGGGCCCCGGAGAGGCGGCGACAGAAGGCGGGTCCCGCGGGGTTAGGCGACCGTCACCTCTTCCCGGCCCTCGGAGAGGCCTCCGCCGAGGGCCGCCCTCCCTGCTCACGGGGAGGCTCGCGGCTCGTTCAAGACGGCGTCCCGGACTCCTTCCTGCTCATTCTCCAAGAGCCGCACTGGAAGCGGCCGCAAACGGCGTCGCCTCCCCACAGCTGGCGTGGACGAAACCGTCGCACGCAAATGACGACGGCAGCAAGAGACCGGAAACCCCGCCTCCCTCCGCAGAAACACCTGTCCTGAGCCTTCATTGGTCCAGCGCCCGGGGCACACGCACGGCGCGCGGCTTTCTGGGTAATGTAGTTTTTCTCTGCAAACCACCAGCAAGGGAGCGCGTGCTGGTTGAGCGGGTCGTCTTCGGTGTTTCAGACTTACCGGGCCTGCAGCCGCGTGTCTAGCCCGTCTCGTCACATTTCTTCACATTAACAAAGGGGAACCCAGGAGAAGGAGTGAGGCCGCCCTTTGTTTGCCAGGGGAAATTGAGGCCCAGGAGAGGCAGGGACATTCGCCCTGGGTTAGGGCAAGTAGAAAGATGCGAAACCCGGCCCTCTACTCGCTTCGTGACTTCCCTCTGCGCCCCGTTTTCTCTGGATCCTCTTACAGGAGAGGCAGATATGTGAACAGGCAAATTAATCGCCAAAAGGAGGACGCCAGAAGTCCTCCTGCCACGTGGTGCGCCCTCAAGTACAGGTCTTTGGGGCCTTCTTGAATCCAGAGCCACCTCCCTATGGTGCAGGGACTTCTGGGTCAGAGAGTTCGGCCTAGAGCACCCGAAGAGTGATTTGCCATCCCCTGAGCTGAGGAGGCTGCAAGAAGGGGGTGCCTTGGAGGGAACCCAGGACTCCATCTTCGAGCATGGTCACATAGGCACTTCAACCTTTGCCCGAACATTGAGAGAAGGTTTGTGCCTGGATATGTACATTTGGGTCATGATACCAACAAAAGAATGAATAGATGGAGAAAGGAAAGGACAGATGAACTCTGAACCAACCCAACATTAACTAGTGGCAGACAAGAAAGCAACAGAGTCACCTTAGGAATTCTAATATTCCATGTAGAATTATGTTGCCTAAAGTATTAGAGGTCTCCATGAGTGACTTGTTTTCTCAGGAGTATGAGGGTGACCAAATCCAGTTTCTATGGAACAGAGAATACATTTATGAAAATGGAAACATGGTGTGCAGAAAATGCCCTCAAGAAATTTAATTTATCCCCAATGAGTTGTTTAAAAAGAGAAATTTAATTTTTTTTTTATCCTCACCTGAGGACATTTTTTCCTTTTTTTGTTCAGATAGAGTGGGAGTGAGAGAAAGGAAGAGAAAGAGAAACATCAAAGTGAAAGGGACACATCGAGTGGCTGCCACCCACACGACCCAACCAGGGCCGGGGACAAACTGCAACCAAGGCACATGCCCTTAGCGGGAACTGAACCCAGGTCTCTCTGGACCACAGGCTGACGCTCTAACCCCTGAGCCAAACCAGCCAGGGCGAGAAATTTAATTTTTAAAGTGAAGAAAAGCATAGTGACAGGATGTTAATTGGGTCAAGGATTAAGATGGGGTTCATTTCCTAGAAGATTCTGTTTATAAAAGGAGTTTATGGAGATATATGACATAATTAGCACTCAAGGAACAATGTTATCCATCATTGGAGATAGTATTTTGCCCACATTGGAAGAGACATAATTGTCCTTTTCACATGAGGTTGACCCTTATGGGTAAATTAAATGATTTGGGGCTATGACGTAAAACATATTAAAGCTAAGATTTTTATATTCTCTGTGTCATGGGAGACAGAATGTCTGAAATCAGTGGTGAGAAGAGTTATGTAGCTATTGGAGATCTTTGAAACCCCCTACTGTAAAGCATGGCAGAGAGTTTTCATTATTGAAACAAAAATACATCATCTAGTGTCAGTGTGGAGGCCCTAGCTGATTTTTCCTTTTCTCTCCAAAATGTGCCCATTGATATGAATTTATCCAGAACCAGAAATAAGTAATATTGCAGGGTTCCTGAGTACAAATGACTTAATTTATTATGAATTTCTGAGTGTTTAATTGAAATATTAAGTCAAGAAAACTGACGGGGGGTGGTGAAACTGAAAAGCACAGAGAGGTGAGCACTGAAGGTGCAGGTGAAAAACCATGAGCCAGTGTCTGGGAGCACTTACTCTTTTTTTTTTTATCCTCACCTCAGGACATTCTTGCATTTATCTTCAGATAGAGTGGGAGGGAAAGAGGAGGGTACAGAGAAACATCGATGTGAGAGAGACACATTGACTGGTTGCCACCCGCACAACCCCAATTGGGGTGGGCTGAACCGCAACCGAGGTACGTGCCCTTAGCAGAAACCGAACCCGGGACTCTCTGGTCCACAGGCTGACGCTCTAACTGCTGAGCCAAACTGGCCAGAGCCAATGTCTGGGAGCACTTCAATGACAGGTCTGCAACAGTGGGTCTGTGCATGTGAGAGTGGAGTGGGTCTGGTCATCACAGGGCTGTAGTCCTGCATCTGCTGGACATTTCGCACGGAGAATGTGTAGAACATGGTGGCGGGAGTAACATTATCAAGGCAAACTGCATAGGCAGGGCTTTTAGTCAGGAGACAGCGGCTACAACAATGTCTGCAATGAGTGGAGTACGTGTTTGACTTCCCAGTTGAGGAATCTAGGCGTTTACTCTGCTGTTGTCGCCTTATTGTAGATGAAGGGATCAACTGCCACATGAAACTGACAGAATATAGGGGAAGGTTGGAAGAACACTCCCTAAATTGCTGCAAGTGGAGGATGTGATTCCCGAAGAGGGGATGTTACATTGATTATTAGGGATGATCAGTTCTGAAGAAATCAGAAGATGGCACACCCCAGAGGTGCTAATGAACTCGTTTGAGAACTGGGTGGCACTGATGTGCAGTGAAATGTTTTATCTCAACAACAGCATGTTGGCCGTCAGTATAGAGAGTGAACCTCTGGGTTGGCCAGTCCTGTACTTCTGAAAACATGGGGAATAGTAAGTTGAGTCAAGGAGCCACTGGATAGGTGACAGGTTATGCACCACTGGAGTGGTTATCTGCAGAAAGTAGGCACTAGTTTTCAAGGAGAGTGGTTAATTCACTATCCTTGGGGGCCAGGAGGGGTATCATTTTGAGCCCCACTCATGGGAAAGAGTTCTACAAGAAATAAAGATTCTACCCAATTACACACCAACTTACGCAACTATTAACACCTGATACAAAGTGATTAACCTTTTGCCCTGGCCCCTGGTAGCTCAGTTGGTTAGATTGTCTCAAACCCCTGCCAGGGTACATACAAGAATCAACTAATGAATGCATGGAACAACAAATCAATGTTCCTTTCATTCTGTTCCTCTCTCCTTCTAAAATCAATAAATAAAAAGTTAAAAACTGATTAACCTTTTATTAATTAGTATCTTGTATTTTAAAAGAGAAGAAACAAAACGCAGACAAAATAGTGGAGCCAGGAGAGCTCCCTGAACAAACATGTAGGAACAGGGGTGGACGGCTCAGGAAGCCATCTGACTAGATGGAGGCATCACCCTCCGAGAATGGGCTCGAATCCAGGGGTGCTGCAGGATCTGTGCCAAAGGCAGTCGCTCTGAGGGCTGGTATCTGAGAAGCTTGCTGATCAAGTCCTGGGCCCCCAAAGATATTGATGGGGGAAATTTTACATCAACCTGATGAAGCCGGAGAAGAAACAGGAGGGTTAATTTTATTGGTCCACGTTCACTCTGTTCTGAGTCCCTTCAAGTCACGGGATCTAAGGAGACAAGCTTTGTGTATGCCCTGGGCTGTGCAGATCCAGCAGCCACCACTGACTGGCTTACCCATAAATGCCCAGATTACAGCCATCTCACCTTGAGGATGCGTCTGTAGGTCTCAGAATAGGAGGAGCTCTCGAAAGGTGGATTTCCCACCAGTAGTTCGTAGCAGAGCACCCCAATGCACCACAGATCCACCATCTCATTGTATGTTCTCTGCTCGATCATTTCTGGGGGCAAGTAGTCCAGAGTCCCACACATTGTCTTTCTCCTAGAGGAGGGTAGGAAAGTGAGTGCTGTGCAGAGGCCCAGAACATAGGAAACCCTCCTTCTTTGGGTTCCAGTGAGATGCGAGGCCCAAGGAAGTCTCAGGGAGGCCCCTCCCTAGCACAGGAGTTTGGACACACCAAGCTCTTTTTCTTTTTTTTTAAGATATGAGACTTTAAAAATGTATGTTTTTATTGATTTTTTAGGGAGAGAGAAGCATCGATTGGCTGCCTCCTGTATGCCCCATACTGGGGATGGAGCCTGCAACACAGGCATGTGCCCTGACCAGGAATCGAACCAGAACCTCTCAGTGAATGGGACAACATTCATTCCACTGAGCCACACCAGCTAGGCTTTAATATGGATTCAGGTTCAGAGAAGGCAGAGCCTGGGCCCCACCAATTCCACATTTTGGAATTACTCATACAGTTATTTAACTCACAATCCAGGATGTTTTCACAAGAATATTCTGGGCATCAAGAAAGATTTGAAACAAACTGATCGTGTCTTAAGAGAGATCAAGTAAATGAATTATGGTTTATTCACCCAGTCAACTTCCTGAAATTATGAAGCAATGGTTCTTTTACATGGAAACTTATTGATCAAGTTCTATGTTAGCAGAGATAAAAATGAAAAGATATGGTTGAACCACATTGTCTCTGAAAACACATTAAATAGATGCATTTGAAAGACAGTACAGCCCGGCCGGTGTGGCTCAGTGGTTGAGCGTTGACCCATGCACCAACAGGTCGCCGGTTCTATTCCTGGTCAGGGCACATGCCCAGGTTGTGGGCCCGATGCCCAGTGGGGGGCATGCAGGAGACCCCCAACTGATGTTCTCTCTCATTGATGTTTCTCGCTCTCTCCCTCTCCCTTCCTCTAAAATAAAAAGAAAAAAGAAAAAGACAGTACAGTTATGTGCCACTTAATGATGAAGAGAGATGCAACTGAGAAAGGCATTACTAGGTGATTCCATCATCATGCAAACATCACGGAAGCACTCATACAAACCTCGATGGGACAGCCTACTACACAACATGGGTAGTGTGGTTTATTCTATTGCTCCTAGGCTACAAAACTGTATAGCATCTTACTATACTAAATACTATACGCAATTGTAACACAATGGTAAGTATCTGTGCATCTAAATATATAAACGGTATAGTAAAAATACAGTATAAAAAATAAAATGGGGCCCTGGCTCTGTGGCTCAGTTGGTTGGAACGTCATGCACCAGGTCATGGGTTTCATTCCCGGTCAGGGCATGTACAGGAGATAACTGATTGATGTTCCTCTCTCACATTGCTGATTCTCTCTCTCTCTCTCTCTCTCCTTCCCTTCCTCCCTCTCTAAAAAAAAAAAATCAATTTTTAGAAAGCTAAAATAAATAAATAAAATGGTACACGGTATAGGGTGTTTACCATGAATGGAGCTGCAGGACTGCAATTGCTCTGGGTGAGTTGGGGAGTGAGTGATGAGTGAACGTGAAGGCTTAGGACATTACTGCGCACTCCTGTAGGTTTTATAAATACTGTACACTTAGTGGGGCCACTCACCAGTTAGCCAATCTTCCACTGTTTCTTTGCTATTTTAAAAAGGTAGAGAAAAAAGAATTGCCTCTTGTCCTCCATAATCCTGCTGATGTGTAAGGAGGGCAATGTCCAGCTCCCAAAATTACTTTGTCTTTTTATGAGGAACCAGGTCCTTCCATGAATGACCTGCCCTAACCTATATGTTTGGATGGAGAACCTGACAATGTAGAGTAGGCTTTATAATTATCGTATGGAGGTCATCTCTATGACTTGGAAGTATAAAGTAGAATTATATTGTGTTCTGCATTAGAATACTGTACACTTAGGTTACACTCAACTTACTTTTAAAGATTTTTCTTCACCTGGCTGGTGTGGCTCAGTTGTTGAGTGTCGACCTATGCACAAAGAGGTCACTGGTTTGATTCCCAGTCAAGGCACATGCCTGGGTTGCGGGCTTGATCCCCAGTAGGGGGTGTGCAGGAGGCAGGTGACCGATGTTAATGCTTCTCTTATAGATGTTTCTCTTTCCTTCTCCCTTCCTCATTAAAAAAAAAAATTCTCTCTATATATTTTTTCTTCAATAGCAAACTAACCTTAGATTACTGTAACTTTTTTACTTTATAAACTTTTAATTTTCTAAAACTTTCGGACTCTTTTGTAATAACTTTGCTTAAACACAAACACATTGTACAGCTGTACAAAATATTTTCTTTATATCCTTATTCTATAAGATTTTATATTTTTAAAATAAAATTTTTTTCCTTTTTAAACTTTTTATTTTTTTAATTTAATTTTATTTATTTGAGAGAGATCTGTTATGCCATCTATTTATGCATTCATTGGTTGATTCTCCTTTTTTCCCTCTTATTTTATTTAATTTTTTGCATTTATTTTCAGATAGAGTGGGAGAGACGGAGGGAGGAAGAGAGAGAAACAAACATCAAAGTGAGAGAGACACATTGAGTGGCTGCCACCCACACGACCCCAACTGGCGCTGGCAACAAACTGCAACCGAGGTACATGCCCTTAGCAGGAACCGAACCTAGGCCTCTCTGACACTAACCACTGAGAAAACTGGCCAGGGCTTCCTTTTTAAACTTAAAAAAAAAAATCTAAGAGTCAGCCCTGGCCAGTTTGGTTCAGCGATTAGAGCAATGGCCTGCAGACCAATGAGTCTTGAGTTTGATTCCGGTCAAGGGCGAGTACCTCGGGTGCGGTTCGTCCCCGACCCTGATTGGAGTCATGCGGGAGGCAAACAGTTGATGTGTCCCTCTCATGTTGATGTTTCTCTCTTTCTCTCCCTCTCTTTCCCTCCCACTCTATCTGAATAAAAATGGATAAATATCTTCAGGTGAGGATGAAAAAAAAACTAAGACACAAACAAACACATTAGCCCAGGCCCAGACAGGGCCAGGATCAGCAATTTCACTGTCTTTAACCTCAACATCTTGTCCCACTGGAAGGTCACAGAGGCATAACATACATGGAGCTGTCATCTTCTACAATAACAATGCCTTCTTCTGAAACATCTCACGAAGGAATTGTGTGAGGTTCTTCTTGAGAGGGGTGTCACTTTTCAGAAATACATACATGGTAGCTTACTTTTGTTTTTAAAATAATTTTTTTTCTTTATTGATTTTACAGAGAAAGGGAGAGGGAGATAGAAACATTGATGAGAGAGAACATCGGTTGGCCGCCTCCCGCATATCCCCTACTGGGGATTTGGCCCACAACCTGGGCACGTGCCCTGACCGGGAACCAAACCAGCGACCTCTTGATGCATGGATTGACACTCAACCACTGAGCCACACTGGCCAGGCCACTTGTTTTTGTTTTTTCTTTTTTTTCTTTTTATCATAGATTTGTTTATAAGCAGATAATGCAGAGTGAACATCCCTCTCTATTAACCTTTCAGTGTTGGGGTTCATATTGTTAAACTTTTTTTGGGGGGTTAGTCTTTATTTAATCTTTATTGTTGAATGTATTACAGATGTTCCTCATTTTTCCCATTGACCCCCTCCTCCCCACTCCTGCCTTTTCCCACACTATTGTCTGTGTCCATTGGTTATGAATATATGCATTTAAGTTCTTTGGTTTCTTTCTTTCCACCCTCCAACCCCCTTCCCTTTGAGGTTTGTCAGTCTAGCAACCAATTTGTACTTCTTAATCCCTTCACCTTTTTCACCCATTCCCCCAAACCCCCTCCCATCTGGCAACCAACAAAATGTTTTCTATATCTATGAGAATGTTTCTGTTCTGCCTGTTCATTTTGTTTGTAGATTCAATTGTTGATAGCTATGTTTTCATTGCCATTTATCAACGTTTGTTCATATTTTTTATCTTTTTCTTCAAGAAGACCCTTCAACATTTCATATAATAATGGTTTGGTGGTGATGAACTCCTTTAGCTTTTCCTTGTCTGGGAAACTCTTTATATGGCCATCGATTCTAAATGAGAGCTTTGCAGGATAGAGTAATCTTGGTTGTAGGTTCTTGCTTTTCATCACTCTGAATATTTCTTGCCACTCCCTTCTGGCCTGCAAAGTTTCTTTTGAGAAATCAGCTGACAGCCTAATGGGAACTCCCTTGTAGGTAACTAACTGCTTTTCTCTTGCTGCTTTTAAGATTCTCTCTTTGTCTTGAACCTTTTGCATTTTGATGATGATGTGTGTTGGTGTGGGCCTCTTGGGGTTCATCTTGTTTGGGACTCTCTGTGCTTCCTGGACTTGTATGTCTGTTTCCTTCACCAAGTTAGGGAAGTTTTCTGCCATTATTGTTCTAAATAGGTTTTCGATTTCTTGTTCTCTCTTCTCCTTCTGGCACCCCCAAGATGCAAACGTTGGCACGCTTGAAGTTGTTCCAGAGGCTCTTTACACTTCATTTTTTTTTTTTTATTCTTTTTTTCTTTTTGCTGTTCTGATTGGGTGTTTTTTGCTTCCTTATATTCCAAATTGATAGTTTGCTTCTTGGTTTTACCTATTCTACTATTGCATCTGTGTAAATTATTCTTTACTTCAGTTAGTGCCTCCTTCATTTCTGACTGGTCCTTTTTTATGCTCTTGAGGCCCTCACTAAGTTCGCTGAGGTTCTCACTAAGTTCATTGAGCATCCTTATAAGCAGTGTTTGAAATCAGCATCTGTTAAGTTGCTTATCTCCATTTTGCTTAGCTCTTTTCCTGGGGTTTTGTTCTGTTCTTTCATTTGGGACCTGTTTATCTCCTCATTTTGGCCACCTCCCTGTTTTTGTTTCTATGTATTACTTAACGAGAGGTATGGGGCTAGCTGAGACCAGATGCTACTTGTTTGACAGAATTTAGGAAAACCTGAAGCAGGATACAATCCTATGGTTAAGCAACTGGCAACAGCTTGGGTGGGCCTAAAAGTTGGGTGGGGTGGGGCCTCAGGGAATCACCAGGGCAGGGCAACCAGTGTGAGCCAGGTTGCTGGAGTCCCAGATATGGTGGCTGTCTGTGGCCCCAGGGAAGGGCTCACCAAAGAAACAAAGGCCTCTGACAGCACATTTGTCCCAGAGAAAGCCCCCTCTCCAGCCCTCACTCCAATGCCGAACAGCTCAGTTCTTCCCTGTATGTCTCTGGCACCCCTCGAGCTGCCTCCCCTCCAAGCTTACAGGGAGTGAGTTCGATAAGTCCATGCACAGGCCCTTTAAGAGAGCTGCCTGGGGCTCCAGCTGACTCAGCCTCCCTAAGCCTCAGTTCCTGTTGGTTTTTCCAGCCAGAAGTTATGGGGATTTCTCTTCCTGGCACTGGAACCCTGAATGGGATGCCTGGTATGGGATGGGGACTCTTCAGTCCTCAGGGAGGACCTTCCTAGCCAAGGTGTCCTCCTGATTTTTATCCCCCACGCGTGGGTGTGGGACCAGGCTGTCCACCTCCACCCGTACCAGTCTCGATGTGGCTGCTTCTTTAATTCCGTAGTTGTAGGACTTCCATTCAACTAGATTTCAGGCGGTTTTGAATGATGGTTGTTCTGTAGTTTAGTTATAACTTTGATGTGGTTGTGGGAGGACGGACACCTCATTTACCTACGCCGCCATCTTGACCAGAGTCTCCATTTTTTTCCCCCCTCTCCCGAAGACATTTTTGCATGTATCTTCATATAGAGCGGGAGGGAGAGAGGGAAGAAGAGAGAGAGAGAGAAACATTGATGTGAGAGAGACACATCGAGTGGTTGCCACCCACACAACCCCAACCAGGGCTGGGGACAAATGGCAACTGAGGTACGTGCCCTTAGTGGGAACCAAATCTCGGTCTCTCTGGTCTGCAGGCAGATGATCTAACTGCTGAGCCAAACCAGCCAGGGCCAGAAGTCTCCATATTTTTAAACTTTTTAAGGAGCTTGTTGAGGTCTGCAAAAGCTTCTACTAAGCCTTTCACTGTGAATTTTCTTGATGGTTCTTTTTCTTCTCCTGCAGTTCCCTTTTCTCTTGCTGCTTCTTCAGCTCTGCATTCCTGTTCCAGTTCCAACAACTCATTGGTCAACTTCTTAGGAACCACCTCTAGGAGCTCCTTGGTGTCATCCTCAACCACAGCCAGGTTAACATTGTTTGCCATCCCAACCACAGCCCTAGATTTCTGCAACCTCCTCATCCTTGGCAAACCCTTTGATGTTACAGAGGAACCTCTTAAGTCTTTTTCCAGATGCCATTCATACACTCCTTGGTGACATCACCTAAAGCCCAAGCAAGGTTATTTTTTATTATTATTGATTTTTATTTTATTTTTTATTTATTTTTGCAATTTTTGAATTAATTTATTTTTGTTATAGATGTTTGTCCTCCCCCCACTGATCCCACCCCCTCCCCTTATTATTGATTTTTAGAGAGAGAAGACAGGAGAGGGGGAGAGAGAGAGAGAAACACTGATATGAGAGAGAAACATCAATCGGTTTCCTATTGCATGCACCCTGACTGGGGATCAAACTCACAACCTGGGCATGTGCCCTGACTGGGAATCACACCAGTGACCTTTCAGTGCACAGGATAATGCTTAACCAACTGAGCCACAGCAGCCAGGGCCCAAGTAACTTTTGGGGTTTTTTTTGCAGGCCACTTCTCTGCGTTGTTTTAAAAAAAAATTTTTTTTAATTGACGCTTTAGAGAGAGAGGAAGGGAGAAATAGAAACATCAATCGGCTGCCTCTTACATATCCCCGAATGGGGATCGAGCCTGCAACTTGGACATGTGCCCTGACCAGGAATCAAACCAGGACCTCTCAGTCCACGGGATGACACGCAATCCACTGAGTCACACTGGCCGGGCCCAAGCAAGGTTCTGGATGCAGAAAGAGATGTTGTAATCCTTCCAGAATTGCATGAATATAGTATAATAAATACACAAATCAGTAACACAGTTATTTGTATCATTATCAAGCATCATGTACTATATACAAGTATATGCTATACTTTTAGATTACTGGCAGCACAGATTTGTTTACACCAGCATCACTGTGAACACATAATGCAATGTGCTACATTATTCAGCTATGTCACTGGACAACAGGAATTTTTAGCTCCATTATAATCTTATGGGACCACCATCATATATGCAGTCCATCCTTGACCAAAGGATGCATCATTATGTGTGCATGCCTGCACTCAAACACAAACCCAGGAGTGTATATGGGTCTTACATGTAGAATGTATTAATTTTTATTTATTTTTTATCCTCACCCAAGGACATTTTTCCGTCTTTTGTTCAGATAGAGTAGGAGGGAGAGAGAGAGAAGCATCGATGTGAAAGGGACACATCAAGTGGCTGCCACCCGCACGACCCAACCAGGACCGGTGACAAACTGTAACCGAGGTATATGCCCTTAGTGGGAACTGAATCCAGGTCTTTCTGGACCGCAGGCTGATGCTTTAACCACTGAGCCAAACCAGCCAGGGCCAGAATGTATTAAATTGGATCATTCCTAACTAGCACCCAGGGCCCACCCTACCATCACTTGACTTACCTCAGTGAGGGGGTGTGCACAGACCAGCCAAAGTCAGCAATCTTCACCTCACCCCTGAACCCCAGCAGCAGGTTCTCTGGCTTAATATCCCTGTGAATCACCTTGTTCTCATGGCAATAGGCCAGAGCATCTGCCAACTCCTCCATTATCTGTGTGAGCAAAGAAAAAGCAGTCTGAAAAAAAGTGCCCTGACTGGGAATCAAACTCGCGATCTCTTGGTGCATGGGTCGACGCTCATCCACTGAGCCACACCGGCCAGGCTCCCCCATTTTATGCAGTCTGATAGGATAGATGAAGAAGACAGATCCTCCGTTTTGCCTTAGCACAGCAAGTCACTCAATACAGGATCTGTGCTGAGCCAATCAGATGATCTACCATAGGACTTCAGGCCTGAGGAAATAATACAAAAATAGAAGGAAAATGGGAAGATCATTCATTCTCACTGCAAGCTGACCCAACCATTCCTGCTGGGATGGTTGTTGCTGTATTTCCCCATCTGGAGCCCTCTAGAAATCTCGTTACCTACTTCTAAGCCAGGTTCCACTCATTTATACAGCAAACTCCCGCGTAGACTTTCAATGTTTCTCCACATAAAGCAGTACAGTTAGATTCTGTTGCTTACAATCAAAGAATCCAAACTTATACACACAACTTATTCATATTCTGGGGGTAATTTGGGTATTTGAATGTGAAATGTAAGCTATACAGTATATGTCATCATATAAAATTTATAGAATAAAATTCAGAGATAAAGAAAAAAGCAATCTTATGTATATATGCACAACCAATCGACATGGACATTAGGCTTGAGAAGGTAGGAGGGGGGTGGGAACAAGAAGGAGGGGTGTCAATGGGGAAAAAAAGGAGGACAACTGTAGTACTTACAACAATTAAAAAAAACAAAAAGAAAGAAAAAAGCAATCTGGATGTTCATGACAGCCACAAGCAATGATCCCCCTCACCAGCCCACAGTAAACTCATGGACCCCAAAGTCGCAGCCACGCCCCCCCCCCCCTCACCGTGGCTGTACGCTGCTCATCTATTGTGTGGCTCTTTTGCAACTCCTTGTAGAGCTCACCCCTTGGAGCATATTCTAGAATCAGGTACACACGACGCGCATCATGGAAGTAGTTGTACAGGCGTAGAATATTGGGATGTCTGGAGGAGAAATGGGGGAAGGGTCAGATTCCTCCCTGAGGCCCAACTTGTGATATTATTACAAGTGATTGGTCACACAAGAAGCAAACTGTGCTGAGACCAGAATAACAGCCCGATCTAGGAGTGCATGAGTGGAGAACAGGGAACAGGCATTTGGTGTGTGACACAGGGAGCTTTACATAGTGTAATAGTAATGAATTGAAGAGAAAAAAATCTTCAAAGTGAAAGCATGGACCTATTTGGGGGTAGTTTTGGCTGAAATGCTAGGTTCACATGTCAAAGATAAGAGAGGACACAGAGCCCTGGCCAGTTTGGCTCAGCGGTTAGAGCGTCGGCCTGCGGTCCGGAGAGACCCGGGTTCGGTTCCCGCTAAGGGCACGTACTTCGGTTGCAGTTTGTCCCCGGCCCTGGTTGGTCGTGCGGGTGGCAGCCACTCGATGTGTCCCTTCACGTCGATGTTTCTCTCTCTCTCTCCTTCCTCTCTCTCCCTCCCACTCTATCTGTACAAAAAAATGGAAAATATCCTCGGGTGAGGATAAAAAAAAAAAAAAAAAAAAGAGAGGACACAGAACAAGGGTAAAGAACCAGTGTGGGCCCTGGCAGGGTAGCTCAGTTACAGCAAACTAATTGGTCTTTCTCTCTCTCTCTCTCTCTCCTTCCTTTCTTTCTTCTTCCCTTCCTTTCTCTCTCTCTTAAACAACAACCAGTGTGGAACTGTCATGCAGAGACTACCCTTACTGTAGATGCGCCTGGATTTCAATTTCTCTGCGCAGCTGGTGTTCCATTCCTTCCTTCTCGAGCTGGGACTTGAAGAGGACTTTCAGAGCCACAATGAAATGGTTTTCCTTGAGCCGAGCCAGGTACACATTCCCAAATTTCCCCTTGCCCAGAGGACGCCCGATTTCAAAGTCATCAATTGTGAGGCTCCGGCTGACAGGAGAGGAAGAAAAGAGCCTTAATTTGGGAGTTAAGTGGAGGGAGAGTCAGGGACCTCGAGGGCTCTCCTCCTTTTCCATGCACCCTCCTCCCTCCGCCGCGTTTCCTTCTCCAGGGCCCAGGCAGGGGTGCGGGCACCAGCTCTCAGTCCCAAGAGCCGACACTCCACACGCACGGCTTGTTTTTCATCCCTTGGTCCCACTTCCTTTCTTCTCCCCGATACAAAGCCAAAGGCACTCACGCGGTGGGCACACTGGGCAGCGGTGGGCCCTCTGCAGCTGCTGGGAAAAAAAGCTATCAACGCTTTTCTTCTGCGCGCCCCCAACTCCCACAACCGACACCAGGCCTTTGCCCCCAACCCTTTCTGCGGTCCTGGTTCTTCTCTCTCTCACCTGCGAGCTGAGCATCGCCCGACTTCGCCCCACACTGTGGGACACTCATGAGGAGAGATGGTGGCGAGAGGACGCCTTCCTGAGCCCTGCGGAACGGGGTGTGCAGGTCCGGCTGACGGTGAAAAGGGGTCAGAGGAGGTAACACCCAGGCGGAGGCTTCCCCAGCCCCAACCTGCTCCCCTGGTGGCCTTGGGATGCCACCTGGAAGCCCTTCAACGACTCACCTGTGGTTCAGTAAACCTGCGGAGACCCTGACCAAGGGCTTTACAGTCGGCGCCCTGGCCCCATTGGTTGAGCGCGTAGTTCCTGACCGATTCCCATTGGTTTAAATTTCTGAGGCTTGGGCAGCGTGCCCTATACAAGAGACAGAAACGGGAGATTGATCCGGGAGATGGGGGCGGTACCAGGGCGCTGGGCCAATGACACGGCAGCGCGGAAACCAGAAGGAGGCGGGGCCTGGGGCGGTGGCGGGACACGCTGGGAGCTGAAAACGCAGACACTGAAGAAACGCCGGAAAGGGGCCCGAGTGGAAGAGCCTGTACATACTAAATACAAGCGAGTGAACGCATTCAGGAACTCAGAAACAGGACGCACATTTGCGTGACTCTACAGCGACCCCAGGAAGCTGCTGGAGTACCTGGTGCAGTTGGAAAACTCCAAAACCACGCGTGCTTCCCCAGTCCACCCCCACACCTACTTATTTTGGGGGGCGTCTACAGAAGTTTCAACATTTGAATTTGAATTCCTTTGGAGAGGCAACAGGATAAATTATTGGGGAATATAATTTATAAAGAAATGAACTCTCCCAACCCAGAAAACCTCTCCACAAAAATGTTTATTTTTGAATAAGCATGAAACCAGACCGTTGATGCGCATAACATTCAGTAACATTGAAAAGACAGAAATCTCACCCTTTCATAGAGCCAAGCAGCCACAACCTATTACGTTTTTCAAAATAACTCGTTCTGAAGAAACCATGGCAGCACCATGTTACACATAGTTCACCCAAAATTTACCTGGTAATTGGAGTAACTATCTACCCTTACTTTGGCTTTCTATAAAACAAACTTCTTGCCCTGGCTGGTTTGACTCAATGGTCACAACATCATCCAGTGGACTGACCAAAGGGTTGCAGGTTCCATTCCGGTCAAGGGCAGTACCTGGTTACAGGTTCAATCCCTGGCCTCCAGTATGGGAGGCAACCAAATCAATGTATCCTTCTCACATGGATGTTTCTCCCTCCGCCCCCCCCCCCCTTTCTAAAAATTAATGGAAAAAATCTCAGGTGAGGATTAACAACAAAAAGAACCTTGCCCTGGCCAGTTTTGCTCAGTGGTTAGAGCGTCCGCCTGCAAACCAGGGACCCGGGTTTGGTTCCAGCTAAGGGCATGTACCTGGGTTGCAGTTTGTCCCTGGCCCGGTTGGGGTCTTGTGGGTGGCAACCAGTCTATGTGTCACTCTCGCATCGATGTTTTTCTCTTTTTCTCCTTCTCTCCCTCCCGCTCTATCTGAAGATGAATGCAAAAAAAAACCCCCCCAAAAACCTTCATGTCCTTGCGAAACAGGGTCGTTTTGAACTTGGAGCAAGGTGCCCCCTGGAGTTAGCCTCCCACCCTTTCACAGAAACTGGAAGGGATGTGATCTCCTTTGTTGTCTTCATTTTAGAGATGGCCCCCAGGACTTTGAGAATGACATTCCTGGGTTGGGAGAGTTCGGGGATGTTTGAGCAAAGCAAGGCTAGTGTGACTAAAGTGGTACAAGTTGGATAAATGGAGACAAACTGTGTAGAACTTTGTCGCCCATTGTAAAGAGGTTGTAGTATGTAAAGCGTATTAAGTATACTTTGGATTGCCCTGGCCAGTGTGGCTCAGTTGGTTGGGTGCTGTCCTGTGCACCAAAACGTCACTGGTTTGATTCCCGGTCAGGGCACATACCTGGGTTACAGGTTCAATCCCTGTCGGGCACATATGGGAGGCAACTGATCGATGTTTCTCTCACATCAATCTCACTCTCTCTCAAAATTAATAAGCATGTCCTTAGGTGAGGATTAAAAAGAAAAAAAGCATGCCCTGAATACCTGTTGTTATAAGAAACTTACTTCAACCCTGGCCGGTTTGGCTCAGCGGTTAGAGCATTGGCCTGCAGTCCAGAGAGACCCAGGTTCGGTTCCCGCTAAGGGCGCGTACTTGGTTGCATTTTGTCCCCGGCCTTTGATGGGTTGTGCGGGTGGCAACAGCTCGATGTGTCCCTTTCATGTCGATGTTTCTCTCTCTCTCTCCCCCTCCCACTCTATCTGAACAAAAGATGGAGAAATGTCCTCGGGTGAGGATAAAAAAAAACCCTTCAAATTAATAATATAAATAAGGTTGAAAATACAATTTTAATACCAGATAAAGCATGCTTCACAAGCAAAGCAATGAACAGAAGTAAAATAAGACACTCCACAATGATAAAAGGGTTAATACACCAAGACGACATAGTGATCCTAAATGTGTATGCACCAAACGAGACAGTTTAGAAATACATGAAGTTAAAACTGCTAGTACAGAGGAACAGATAAATCCACAATTATACTGCAGTACTTCAATACCGCTCTTTCAGCTTTTCATAGGAATGTTAGACAAGAAAATCAGCAAGGACATGGAAAATCTGAATGACACCTCCAACAGAATGGGACAGACATTTATAGAAACCACACCCAATGAGAGCCGAACACATTCTTTTCAGGCAGCAATACAGAACATTCAAGAAGATAAACCAAATCGTGGGCCAAAAAAAAAAAAGACTTCGGCCCTGGCCGGTTTGGCTCAGCGGTGAGAGTGTTGGCCCATGGACTGGAGAGTCCCGGGTTTGGTTCCTGCTAAGGGCACATGCCTCGGCTGCAATTTGTCCCCAGCCCCAGTTCGGGTTGTGCGGATGGTGGCCACTTGATGTGTCTCTTTCACATGGATGTTTCTCTCTCTCTCTCTGGCTCCCTCTCTCCCTCCTGCTCTATCTGGAGATAAATGCAAAAAAAAGTCCCAGCGCTGGCCGGTTTGGCTCAGCGGTTAGAGCATTGGCCTGCGGTCCAGAGAGACCTGGGTTCAGTTCTCGCTAAGGGCATGTATCTTGGTTGCAGTTTGTCCCTGGCCCTGGTTGGGGTTGTGTGGGTGGCAGCCACTCGATGTGTACCTTTCATGTCGATGTTTCTCTCTCTCTCTCTTCCTCTCCCTCCCTCCCACGCTATCTGAACAAAACATGAAAAAATGTCCTCCGGTGAGGATTAAAAAAAAAAATCATAAAAAAAAAAAGTCCTCATGTGAGGATTAAAAAAAACGAACTTTAAATCAATAACCTCAGCACCAACCCCCCACCCCAAAATACAAATAGCAAAATACAACCAAAGCAAAGTAGAAGAAAGGATATAATAAAGCCTTGGCCAGTTTTGCTCAGCGGTTAGAGCACTGGTTTGAGCACTGGTTTGTGGACCAAAGGGTCGTGGGTTTGATTCCCAGTCAAGGGCATGTACCTGGGCAGCAGGTTCAATCCCCGGCCCTGGTCGGGGTTGTGTGGCAAGCAAGCAATTGATGTCTCTCCCTCACATCGATGTTTTGCTCTCTCTCTCCCTCTCTTCTGCTCTACCTAAAAATCAATGTAAAAATATCCTCTGGTGAGGATTAGCAACATCAAAAAGTATATAACAAAGATCAAAAGTAAAATTAAAAACAGAAAGGTAATAGGGGAAAATCAACAGTATAAAGTGCTGGTTTTTCAAAATGATCAATGAAATTGATAAATGTCTAAGAAGGTTGACATATTTCAAAAATCAGGAATAAAATGAGAACAAGTACAGATTCTGCTGCCATTAAAAAGATAAATTACTTCAACCAGGACTACAAACAAAATAGAAAATTTAGATGAAATGCAACAATTCCTTGAAAATGACAAACTATTCAATTTATCCAATATGAAATATATATTCTCAATTGTTCCATATCTACCCAAACCAGACAATGACAGTTTTTAAAAAGAAAAAAGAATGAGAACTACACAGTATCACTCAAGAAATTAGAAAACTTTTCCAACAAAATATATTCAAATTGAATGCTTTAATATGGTATATAAAAAGAATTATACTCCACAACCAAGTGGGGTTTATTGCAAGAATGCAAGGCTAATTCAATATTCAAAACTCAACATAATATCATAATATCAACAGGTTATAGAGGAAAAGTCAGATGATCATATCAATTGATAAAGATAAAGCATTTGACAAAATTCAGTACTTATTCATAATAACAAAAATCTCAGCAAATTAAGAGGGAAACTTTCTAAATTTGATGAGAAAACTATGAAAACTTACAGATATTGTACTTAATGATGAAAAACTGAATACCCCCCTCCCCCAAGTATCAGGACCAGTCAAGGATGTCCTTTCTTACTATACTACTCCTATTCAATATCATACTGTAAGTCCTAGCTAGTGCAATAGGAAAAAAAATAATAGTGCCCTGGCCAGTGGTTAGTGTCAGCCCTTGGACTGAGTCGCAGGTTTGATTCTGACCAAGGGCATGTACCTCAGTTGCGATTCATCCCTGGCCCTGGTCAGGGTCATGTGGGAGGCAACCTGTTGATGTCTCTTTCTCTCCCTCCCCCACATTCTATCTGAAGATAAATAGAAAGATATTTTCTGGTGAGGATTAAAAAAAAAAAAAAAAAAAAGAAATAATAGGTATACAAATTGGGAAGGGAGAAATAAAACTATTTGCAGCTGACATTTCTAGGTAGAAAATCTCAAGGCTTCTATCCAAAGAAATGGCTAATAAGTGAGTTCGGCAAGGTTGCAGGATACCAAAAAACTATTACATTTCTGTGTACTACCAAAGACTGTGTGGAAAATTAAAATTAAAAAATCAATGCCACTTACTATCACTCAAAAAAAATCTAGAAATGTATCCTAACAAAAATTTTCAGAACCTGTATACTGAAATTTATAAAATGCTAATGAAATAAATCAAGAATTACTTAAATAAATGTAGTGTATCATGTATTTGTTCATGATGCCGGTTCTCAAACTGACCTACAGTGCAAATCAATTTCTATCAAAATGAGAGTAAAATTTTTTTTAAGAACTAGGAAAAGCTAAGTCAATTTCAAATAATATAAACAGAAGAATCACTTTACTCAATTTTAAAATTTACAGTCTAGCTACAGAAATAAAACAATAAACTGGGATAAAGAGTTTTAGGTTTTACAACCACATAAAAATTATTTGTTTTACAGAAATCAAAGCCTTAATCTTTGTCTTAGTTGGTACAATAAAGAATTTCCATTCATATGTGTGTATCCTTCCATTCATATGTGTACCCTTATCTTCTTAAATACTCCCCCTTCAACTGTCTAAATTCTCCTGACAATGGAAAGCAATGAATATATACAAAACACATAAGGATCTAGGCCCTTCGCCCCACAAACAACATTCTCCTTGCCCCAAGTAAACTAGGTAATCCATGACAAAGTGCTGTAGGCTTAACAGAAAAGTCTCATTGCGTTTTCTAAGTTTCCTCCTTCTTTAAAAATAAAAATTCCTGAGATACAATGTAAACTAAGTAAAAAGATGGAGGTGGAGGTTTTCCTTGGTGCACAATATGGCTGGTCTCGCCCTCATAAATTCTCAGCTGCAGAATAAGGCTCTAGGCTGGGTCAATTTCTAAAATGTGTCTTCATGTGACAAGTAATGATCTGGACAAAAAGGTTTTCTCACAGTGAAGATGCTTGTGGGGTTTCTCTTTGGTATGTACAATCGGATGCTGTGGTAGATGTTTTCTCTGGCAAAAGATTTTCCTCAGTGTTTACATTAAAAAAGTCTTTCCCCAGCAGGAGTTCTCGGAGAGTGAGTGCAGTCTGCCCACTTGTGAAGGGTCTTTCCACTTGTGTTACACTGACAGGGTTTCTCCCAGAATGCATCCTTTGATGCTGAGTGAGAGATGAGCTGCGACTGAAGGCCTTTCCACACTCACTGCACTTATAGGGCTTCTCTCCAGTGTGGATAATGGCATGTCGAATGAGGTTAGTGCTCCAGCAAAAGGATTTCCCACACTCCATGCACTCATAGGGCTTCTCTCCACTGTGAATCCGCTGGTGCCTCGTGAGGCCTGACCTGCGGTTAAAGGCCTTCCCACACTCACTGCACTCATAGGGCTTCTCTCCAGTGTGGATGCTGAAGTGCCGAATGAGGTCTTTCCTGGTGCTAAAGGCTTTCCCACATTCTTTACACTCAAAAGGTTTTTCTCCAGTGTGGGCCCTCTTATGCAAGATAAACGTGGAGCAGTGAGTAAAGGCCCTACCACATTCGGTACACACAAAAGGCTTCTCTCCAGTGTGGATCCGCTGGTGCCTCTTGAGGTACGACCTGTGGTTGAAGGCCTTCCCACACTCGAGGCACTCAAAGGGCTTTTCCCCAGTGTGGATGACATAGTGGTGAATGAGGGCAGCACTCTCACAGAAGGCTTTCCCACACTCACTGCACTCATAGGGCTTCTCCCCAGTGTGAGTCTGCTGGTGCCACATGAGGTATGACTTGAGTTTGAATACTTTTCCACACTCGAAGCACTCATAGGGATTCTCACCACTGTGGACAATGTGATGTCGAAGAAATCCTGGCCTATGTCGAAAAACTTGCCCACATTCTTTGCACACAAAAGATTTTTCTCCAGTGTGTCTCCTTTTATGCAAGACAAAATTGGAGCGGTGGGTGAAGGCCTTTCCACATTCGTTGCACTTATAGGGCTTTTCTCCACTGTGAATCCGCTGATGTTGTGTAAGGTATGACTTGCGGTTGAAGGCCTTCCCACACTCCATGCACTCATAGGGCCTCTCCCCTGTGTGGATCATGTGGTGTTGAAGGAGGTGCGTGCTCTTAATAAACGTTTTCCCACACTCTGTACATTCATAGGGTTTCACTCCAGAGTGAATCTTTTCATGTCCCGCAAGAAGATGTTTCTTGTTAAAAACTTTCCCACATTCATTACATTTAAAGATATTTTCCTCTTCCTGAATCATGTGATCTTTACTTAATTCACGTAGGTCATGGTCAAGGAAACCACCTCCTGGAGGGGTTGGCTCCTGCGCAATCCTCGCACACTCACCATCAGCTGTCCCTAAGCCACCATGTTCAGGGCTTCCAGGGAGCTTCTCCCCTGGGGGGTCTATCCCTGGTCTCAAGTGGCCTTCCTGTAGGGAAACTTCCGATGGGCCATCCCAATCCTTGGTTTGGTCCACTTGGGAATTCCCTGGAATTTTTTGTGTTAGTTGTTCCTGGAATGAGAATCTCTCAGAGAGGGTTGGCTCACAAGTGGTAGGCTCTGTGCTCTTGAGCTTTTCTCTGTCACCTGAAAAAATCGAATACACAAAAAGGCCTGTTAGCAATGTCAACACAGAAGAAACAAAATCAGCACTTCAGTGAAAGACATGAAGATGAGAATAGTGCTTCTGGGTGTGCTATATTTTGCTACCTCTGAATCCCAGAAATGCAATCTCTTTCTGTTCTGGTCCCTGGACTGTTGACACCTAGAAGCCTGGCTGGATGATGAGAGGACAGAGTATCTGGAGTGGAGACACTGCCACAATTCCAGACTAGACATGGCTGTACAGAATAACAATGATGCTGTGTTCTGAGTCTCACATTGCTACATGAACACTTGGAAAGGGTATCTAATGCAGCCCCGATGGAAGACAGCAAATGTATAATGCAAAATTAACTACCCACAAAGAGAAGTATTATCTTTGTCCCACCTCTAAGGAAGTAACCTCTGAATTCTGGGTATTTCCAGAAAGACAGAAGTGTTTTGGTTATTCATGGAGGCTCCTGGAAACATATGTGATAGTTTATTAGGGGCCCCTAGATAGTTTATGGTAAGGAGATGACTCAGAGTAAGGTCTGGCTATATCAGAAAGACCAACCATGCAATTAGAAAGTTGGAGCTTTGCCTGGCCAGTGTGGCTCAGTGTTTGAGCACTGACTCATGCACCAAGAAGTCACCGGTTCAATTCCCGGTCAGGACACATGCCCAGATTGTGGGCCTGATCCCCAGTGGGGGCCATGCAGGAGGTAGCCAATCGATATTTTCTCTCATTGACGTTTCTCTCTCTCCCCCCACATCCTCTCTCTCTAAAATCAATAAAGAAAAGATATTTTAAAAAAAGAAATAAAATTGGAGCTTTGAGCCATGACACATCAGCTGGGCTCCTGGAAAGGAAAAGAGGGCTGGAGATTAAGTCCCACTAGCAAAGACTCAGTGACTTCTCAATGAAAATCTGTATACTGAAGGCTCCAGTGAGTTTCCTGGGTGGGCAATCCTCTGTGCTCACACTGTCACACATTGATATCAGGAGGTAAGGAATACTGAGGACATGGAATCTTTGTATTAGGAACACTTACAGCCCCACATTCCTCACCTCTTCTAATCTGCATCCTTTTTAAAAAAAATATGTCTTTATTGATTTTTTAGAGAGTGAGGTAGAAACATCGATGTGAGAGAGAAACATCAATCAGCTGCCTGTGCCCTGAATGGGAATAGAACCAGGACCTCTCAGTCCATGAGACCATGCTCTATCCACAGAGCCACACCAGCTAAACTAATCTGTATCCTTTAAAAGATAATAGTGAATATAGTGGGTTTTAGGGAGTTTTCTGAGTCTTTCTAACCAATCATCAAACTTGAGGGTGGTTTGGGGAAATCCCTGAATTTGTAGCTAGTGTCAGAAAAACTTGGCAGACATGGCAGTCTTGAGTTCTGTGTTCTTCACCCTTAGTTTGGCTAATGCTGTGGAAGAAAAATCAGGGTTTTTCAATGGGAGGTGCCCATGATATGAGTCCAACTGGCACCATAACAGCTTCCACAAAGAGAAAGTGGGAAGGGCACTGCAGAGCATGAGTGGATGGTGTTGAGGAGAAGCCTGGGACGATGAGGATTCCAGGAATACAGTGGAACACAGTCTGGTATGCCTGAGGAACAGTTTGGTGATGAATGGCAAAAGACACCTGATCCATATGGAGAAAATTACAATGTTAAAGACAAGGTTTATCAGTAAAAGATCTGATCATAAAAAACCAACAATGCTATCCAAGTGAATATATAAATTCAATACAATTCCCTATCAAGTGCCAACTGAGTTACCACAGAACCTGATGGTCTGGCTGTGGATTTGCATGAAAGACCAGAGTAAGAATAGGAGTATGAGGAGAAGGACACTTACCTCATGAGATACTACTACTAGGAAATTATAGATTTTAAGACCTGGTAGTACTGGCACAGAGAGAAGACAAACAGGCGTTGAAAAGAGAAGAGAGCTCAGGAAATACACTCACAATATACAGGGCTTTGCAGGAGGCAGGGGAGCTGAGTGGTAAAAGCAGAGAATATATAATAAAAGGAGATGGAAAAATTGGTGACATGTGGAAATGACAAAACTGGTTACACTACCTCAGATGAAAGAGTTAAATATCGAATGCCAAGTTTTAAAACTTCTAAAATAAAATAAGAGTATCTTTTAATACTGGGGGGGTACAACCAAGATTTTCATACAAGATAAAAAAAATTATTAATCATACAAGAAATGTCATTAAATTAGACTACACTAAAATATGATCCTGTAGGCAACAAGGTATATTTTAAAGAGAGTGAAAAGACAAAATTAAAAAATAGGAAATTATGTCTGCAGCATCTAGATATAAGTATCTAGAATGTACTTAGAAACCCTGTAAGTCAAAAAGCAAGCAAGGTAATAGAAAAACAGGCATTTACTATGAAAATGGCATTTCAAAGAGGAAACACAAACTGGCCAACAATCACATGAGAAGGTGCTAAAGAAAGTGAGACACAATTGTGTGTCCACTTGATAAGCAAAAAGTAAGGAGTCTCAGAATAGCAAATACCAGTCAAGACATGATCAATGGAAACTCTACTGTTTCCTGGGAGAAGTGTAAACTGGTATAGAGTGTTTAAATTTTTTTAAATTGATTTTAGAGAGGGAGAGGGAACGAGAGATAGAAACATTGATGAGAAAGAACATCAACTGGCCACCTCCTGCATACCTCCAATGGGGACCTGGAATCAGGCCCCCAACCTGGGCATGTGCCCTGATCAGGAATCGAACCAGCAACCTCTCTCAACCACTGCACCACACCGGACAGGCTGGTATAGACTTTTTAGAAAACACTGGCCACTGTTGTGTAAAATTAAAATCTGCATAGCCTATAACCCAAGCATTTACTCTAAGAAACGTCAAAGACACTCAAACCAGGACGAGGTGATCTATACTCATAAGTGGAACAACAAATTGACGTGTCTGTCCGTCTCTCTCTCCCTCTCTAAAAACAAAGACAAACAACAAAAAAAGATGCAAAAAAAAATGAAATGCCCCAGAGAGTAGATGAATACAATGTGAGACAAGCATTATTTGTTATTTTCTTCAACTATAAGGACCTTGAGCATATTTTTTTTTAAAATATGTTTTTATTGATTTGAGAGAAAGAGGAAGGCAGAGGGAGAAACATTTATCCGAGAGAGAAATATCGATCGGATGCCTCCCCTATGCACCTTGATCAAGGACCAAACCTACGACCCAGGCATGTGCCCTGCCTGGGAATCAAACTAGTGACCTTTCAGTGCACAGGACAATGCTCAACCCACTGAGACCCACACCAGCTAGGGCACCTTAAGCATATTTTTCTGTTGAGTAGAGAAAGGATGAAGTTACCAAAAGAAAAAGGATGAAATTACCAAAAGAGAAAAAAAAACAACTACTGCACACAAGTAAAGGATACAAACAAAGGAAGAATTTCCATGAAGAGGTGTGATCTAGAATTGTTCAGGAATTGTCTGTGGTTGGGGGCAAGACCTCTCCCACCAGGAGGAAGAAGCTGCACATGCGAGTGGGAGGGGTGAGGAGCAAGCAATGGACGGAGGCTGACTTTGTCTTTCAACGGGAAACCCTGCTAACACACTGGTGGCCACATGCTGAGACGTCTGTGGCTAGGGAAGTGGTCACTGTTTAGAACACAGTCTGAGCACCTGGGCAGCTCATGCAGGACACAGAGCTGACCCGGAGCACCAGCAGATGGAGACCAGTTAGGAGACTATTAGCATCCCCGAGGGCAAAGATGAAGAGAGTCTGAACTTGACTGTGGGATAGATCTGAAAGAAGTGCTGAATCGATGGGTTCAGGAGACGGATATGATGAAAAATGAACAGGACCAGGATGGCTTGGCGTAGGGATTGAAGGCAGTAGAGGGGTGAGTTATTCTCTAAGGCTACATCTAGTCTCTCACCTGCACAATGGCAGCACCACTTGCTGAAGCTGGGGGTGTGAGGGGAGTGGGCAATGTCACGGGTTCCTTGCAAGGCACTTTGGCTTTGGAAGCCTTTGAGACTTTCAAGTGGAGATGTGAGACTGAGGAGAGGGCAGAAGGCTTGGAACAGACTGAGGGGCTGTCAAAGGGGCTGCAGACACGCGCTCTCAGGCTGGCTGAGCAGCCCAAGGGACTAACAGAGGGTACAGAAATGACTACAGTGGCATGAAGCTTCATACGTGACATCCCAGTGCCCTCTGTAGCTCACATGTGGGACAGAGAAGTTCAGTGTCACCCTGAGATGTTACTAAACAGGAGGTATAGAAACAAGGCAGTGCCTATGTTTCTGATTGACACTCAGAGGATGAGGACAGAGTAAATACAGAGAAAGGAAGATAGAAACATCGATGGACTGCCTCCTGCATGCCCCCTACTGGGGATCAAGCCTGAAACCTGGGCATGTGCCCTGACCGGAAATCAAACTGGCACCTGTCAGTCCATGGGACAGCGCTCAATCCACTGAGCCACAAAGACACAATGGGATCATGATACTTTCACTATGGCAACAGAGCTGGTGATCAGCAAGCCAGGCTTTGAGGCCCAGACAGACCTTAGCTTGTACACCTCTGTCCTCCATGAGGTCAGAGGGCCCACAAGTCAAAGGGGTCCATGACTTTCAAACCACCAGACAGGCCACAATAAGAGTCTTCCCCAGGGATCCATAGACAGTGGTCTCCTGAACGTCTCAAGGGTGCAGGGTCTTCCATTTGCCCACAGCTTGGCTCCTACCTGGACAAGTGATTTGAGAGAGGTCTTTCTTCACCATCCTATGCTCCAGCTGGTAGATCAGCTCAGGTCTGGGGATAGGACACCCTGTTCATGCAGAAAGAAAGAAGACATAAGAAAACCAAAAAGTTATTAATTAAAAATTTATAAACCCGGCCAGTGTGACTCAGTGGTTGAGCCTTGACACATGCATCAAAAGGTCACCAGTTCAATTCCCGATCAGGACACATGTCCAGGTTGTGGGCCCAATCCCCAGTGGGGGGCATGCAGGAGGTGGCCAATTGAAGTTCTCTCTCATCAATGTTTCTGTCCCTCCCTCCCTCTCTTTCTAAATATCAATCAATAAAAAAAAATTATAAGCCCTCACCAGGTAGCTCAGTTGGTGAGAGCATCATCCTGATATGCCAAGGTTGCAGGTTTGATCCCTGGTCAGGGTACATACAAGAATCAACCAATAAATGCATAAATAAATAGAATAACAAACTGATGTTTCTTTCTAATTTATTTTTACTTTTACTTTTGAGAGAGAGAGGGAGAGAGAAGGAAAAATTGATGTGAGAGAGAAACATTAATTGGCTGCCTCCTGCACACAAGCCCACAACCCTGGCATGTGCCCTGACTGGGAAGCAAGCAGGGATCTCAGTTCAGAGGAAGACACTCAATCTACTGAACCATACCGATCGGGAGATGTTTCTTTCCTTCTCTCCCCCCAACCCCATCCCGTTCCTCTCTCTCTCAAATCAGTCAATAAATAAAAATTTATATAACAATTACATATAACGTAAGTATAAAAAACATATATGCTAAAAACTTTATATTAGAGTAACAGGGCACTGATTGGCTTTTCTGCCTCTATAACATAAGTTCTAAATTAACTTTAGAATTTGCTAAAATGTACCAATTGAAAAATTTCATGAACTTAATACTGGGACTCAAATCTAAGTTATAGTTGAGGGGGGTTCCAATAAATTTAAACATTGTACTCCCCAATCTTAAAAGGCAACTAAACAGTCCGGCCAGTGTGGCTCAGTGGTTGAGCGTTGACCCATGCATTAAAGAGGTCGCCATTTCAATTCCCGATCAGGGCACATGCCCAGGTTGTGGGCCAAATCCCCGGTCGGGGACATGCAGGAGGCGGCTAATTGATGTTCTCTCTCATTGATGTTTCTATCTCTCTCTCCCTCTCCCTTCCTCTCTCTGTAAAATTAAAAAAAAATTTTTTTTAATTTAAAAAGCAACTAAATAGGAAAAAAGGTATATGTCACTTTAACTGTAGCCTTGCCTAAATTTCCCAGTTGTAGTACCCATTGCCCCCAAATATCCCATATTGGGTACAGATGCTCTGACAAAATACATTATTAAAATAAAATTTTGGCACCTATAAACTGGAAAAATGAGACCCCACAAACCCCACGATAGTTAATATGGCCCAATGTAAGTTGAAAAGTGCCTTTGGGGAGTAAAACTTATTATATAAAACCTAAATAGTAAAGGGGTGATTATCCTCTCACTGACCCATCTAACAGCCCAGGTGTACCTAAAAATAATAAAAGGCAACACACTGTGGTCTCATTCACCAGGGTCTCTATTATGGAATGAATTGTGCCCCCTAAATTTCATGTTAAGCCCCAACCCCAATGTGATTGTACCTGCAGACAGGGCCTTTGAGGAGGTTAAATGAGGTCACAGGGTGGGGCCCTAGTCTGGTAGGACTGGTGTCCTTATAAGAGGAAAAAGATGGCCTCTTCCAGCCACAAAGGAAAGGCCAGGTGAGGACACAGCAAAAAGGCAACCAGGAAGAGAGTGTCTCCAGAAACAGGTTTGCTGGCACCTTGATCTAGGACTGCCAGTCTCCAGAATTGTATGAACATAAACAAATGTCTGTTGTTTAAGCCACAAAGTAATGGCTGCTCAAGCTGACTAATACAGTCCACACACCCAGTATCCAATATTAGTAAAATTACCAACAGTATCCAATCAGCAGCCAGCAATTATTTGGCATTTAAGATTTTGCTGATATGCCCTCTTCAGTGTCTATTTCAACAACCTCTCAGCAATGTCTGAAGGGAAACAATCATCCTTTTCCAGGTTACCCCTGGGGCAGCTCAACAGCTCTGCTATTGCACACGACCCTGGCAATACTGCACAGACCTTCCTCCTGGAACACAGACAGGACGCTACAATGATGACAACCTTGTCCAAGGTAACTTTGAGCCTAACATCTTTTTTTAATCCTCACCTGAGGACATTTTTTTCCATTTTTTGTTCAGATAGAATGGGAGGGAGAGAGAGGAAGAAAGATAGAGAAACATCGACGTGAAAGGAATACATCGAGCCCTGGCCAGTTTTGCTCAGTCGTTAGAGCGTCAGCCTGTGGTCCAGAGAGACCCAGGTTCAGTTCCTGCTAAGGGCACGTACCTCGGTTGCAGTTTGTCCCTGGCCCTGGTTGGTCGTGCGGGTGGCAGCCACTTGATGTGTCCTTTTCACATCGATGTTTCTCTCTCTCTCTTCCTCTCTCTCTATCTGAACAAAAAAAATGGGAAAATGTCCTCGAATGAGGATAAAAAAACAAAACAAAAACACCCTCATGTCCTGGCCAGTTTGGCTCAGCAGTTAGAGCGTCGGCCTGTGGACTGAAGAGTCCCAGGTTCGGTTCCCACTAAGGACACATACCTCGGTTGCAGTTTGCCCTGGCCACGGTTGGGGTCGTGTGGGTGGCAACCACTCAATGTGTCTCTCTCTCTCTCTTCCTCCCCCTCTCCCTTCCGCTCTATCTGAAGATAAGTGCAAAAAAAAAAAACAAAAAACCCAAAACATATCCTCAGGTAAGGATTAAAAAATATAAGTAAACACACACACACACATACACTGATTTGCCCTGGCTGGTTTGGCTCAGCCGTAGAGCATTGGCGTGTGGGTCTGATTTCCGGTTAAGGGCATGTACCTGGGTTGCAGGTTTGATCCTCGACCCAGATCAGGGTCGATGTTTCTCTCTCTCTGTCTCTCTCCCCCTCTCTCTCTTCCATTCTATCTAACAGGTGAGGATTAACAAACAACAACAAATATGTTAAAAATACTGTTAAACAGTCACTCCCATTAGTGCCCTCACAGCCTCCTCTACTGCAGAGGCACTGACAACCTCTTCTGCCTCCTGGAGTCTGAGCCACTATGACAGCCTAGGTTGTCCAAAGGCTTCTAATGAAAGAAACCATCCCCATCAGCCTCTTACTAGACACCATCAGAACAGAGACCAACTATATACACTAAACTTTCCTGAAAAGAGAGGCTCTCACTTACCCCAAGCCTCTGAGCCTCCACAGCTGGGTGCCCATTATGCTTTGGGTCACAAGGTTGGCAGAGCTCCCCAGGCCTTGAGACACAACGGAACCCAACCTGGGCCCTCTGGTATATTCCACCTACAGGAAGGGTAGCCTTCCCTCTGCTTAGCCCCTTGTCAGATGCCACAGTGCTGAAAGTCACCTCTCCCTCAGAGCCCCTGGCTACCTGGGGAGCCCCTGAGATTAACTTAGTGAACAGCAATGCAAGCTCATGGACTATAAGACATTACCAGCCATCACAGAGATGGAGCTCAGTGAGTTGTACTGCTTTCAATCTTTAGCCAGAATGTCCTAGATTAAAAATAAAAATACCTTTTGTTTCCTTATAAAAAGCCCCTTTCCACCACACCAGAGTTCTCGTTAAGATGATTTTTGGAAAGCCCCTAAGGTGACTGGATACCAGGGGAACCAACCACCAGATGAGATGATTAGAACATCAGCCCCACCCCTCACCTTGATGGAGGGGACAGGGTTGGAGATTGAGTTCAATCCCCAATGGCCAATGAGGAGGCTTCCACAAAAAACCCTAACTGAAGTGGCTTGCTGGTGAGCACACTGAGTCACCCCTATAACTGAAATCCTGTAGGTACAAATCAACAGAGTGGGGATGCTGTGGGAATTAAATGAGTGGACCATGAACAGTGCTGAGGGGAACCTGAGCTCTTCCTAAATGTGAGTTTTCTCACATTTCTTCAAAAAAGGAATCCTGGCCCTGGCTGGTGTGGCTCAGCAGGTTGGAGCATCATCTGGTGAACTGCAAGGTCATGCATGGGTTTGATTCCAGGTCAGGGCACATACCCAGGTTTCGGGTTCAATCCCCAGTTGGGATGCATATGGGAGGAAACTGATCGATAATTTTCTCTTACAACGATGTTTCTCTCTCTTGGGTGAAGATTTTAAAAAAAGGAAGCAAGCAGTGGCAGGCGGGCGCATGGCCAACCGGCGCGATGAGTGGGGCCAAGGCAGCGCTGGGGACAGTGGGACGCAGCAAGTGGACGGGTTGCCCCTGCTGCCCAAGAGCTTGAGTGGGCTGCTGCACTCAGTGCACTGGCACTGCTTCACAAGGAGATGGTCAGCCTCCGACAGCTGGACATGTCCTTGCTCTGCCAGCTGTACAGCCTCTACGAGTCCATTCAGGAATAAAAGGGAGCCTGCCAGGCAGCATCCAGCCCGGACTGCACTTATGCCCTGGAGAATGGCTTCTTCGATGAGGAGGAGGAATATTTCCAGGAGCAGAGCTCCGTCCAGGATGGGAGGGACCCGTCCCTGTCCGCCTCCTCCCTCTCCAGCAGAGGCTGGATTCTGGATTCCATCTAGACTCTAGAGGGTCTCCAGAAGGAGGCGCTCACTCCTGGACACGCAGCCAGCACTTGCTTCTCCTACAAGAAGGCGCCTCTGCTCCTCCTTGGGGGCAGTTCCCAGGCCCGTGGGACCAGTGCGCCAGTTGTGTAGGCAGGGAGCTCTCCACGGACTCCTGGTGGTGGTCTGTTTTGATGGCCGAATTCCTGCTTTGGTGATTTAGAGGTGCTCAGCAGTATCCTTGATACCGTGTACCCAGGCACTCATGCCAGGACTCAGAATGAGAATATGACAAGAGGACCCCCGAGAAGATCCTCATGGGTGTTTCCTGCGAAACATCTTCTAGCAAGTTGCTTCCTGACAGGTGGTAGATGGGCTTGCCTCCAGTTTGCGATGTATGGAACATCTCCCTGCTCCCTTCCTTTAGCAACCTTTTTTATTTTAATCCTTACCCGAGGACATTTTTCTACTTTTTGTTCAGAGAGAGTGGGTGGGGAAAGAGAGGAAGAGAGAGAGAAACATCGATGTGAAAGGGACACATTGAGTGGCTGCCACCCGCACGACCCAACCAGGGCCGAGACGAACTGCAACCAAGGTATATGCCCTTAGCGGGAACCGAACCCGAGACCGCCGGCTGACGCTCTAACCGCTGAGCCAAACTGGCCAGGGCTTGGCAACCTTTTTTTGCTGTTTTATGAGCTTTTCGAGCTTCCAGATTGAGCTTTATTTATTTGTAAGCTGCATTACTGTCTGGATGACTCAGTGAAAGCTTTTTACTAAAAAAGTAAACATTTCGGGTCACACAAAATAAAAACACAAGCAAACAAACAAAAGGAATCCTGCATCATTCTGGGAAATGGGAAACCCAGAGTCACTTTCCTTGATAGCAGGTGACTGTGAAAATTCAGCAATGAAATCAAAACCATGGTAAGTCCCAGGGAGGTCATGCTGCAGCCAGCACAGGGCTGCAAGCCTGAGGCTACTCTGTCTGTTGAAAAGGCAAAAGTAGCATCTGTTTCAGGGTAGAGATGCATTAGGTGTGTAACATTCAGCACTAAACCCAGGCTTTCCATCAAAAACAATAAGGAAATAAGAAGAAACAAGGGCTAGACCTTCCTCCGGGTGCTTGTTGATGCCAGCTAATCAAGTGTCCTCGCACTCTCTGGAACAGGGTTTGCCAACCTGGCAGACTATTTCAGTCAAGAAAATGCTCTGACAAGAGGCGGGGACAAATCTGTCCTGCACATTATGAGGATGTTTCGTGCATTCCTGGCTCCACCCACTGATGTCAGTGGTATGCACACCCCAGCTGTTAACAACCAAAAACATCTCCAGATATTGCTGAGTGTCTCTGGGAAGCACAATCATCCTGAGGTGAGAAACACTGGTTTAGAAGGTCATAAGTAGAATGACAAAAAGTGAGATTAGGAAGATCCCCTATTAGGCCTTAGTCTGGACACAGTACTGAGGTGGTGGGGCCTGTGCTGCTGTATGAAAAGGTTGGAGTGCCCAACACTCTGCAGGCAGACAGAACAGCAAGCCCACATCAAGTGTGCCTTGGGATGAGCTGGAAGCCAGCCCAGCTGGAGCAGAGTGAGCTCAGAAAAGCTTGGGGCGGGGGGGAGCACAGGGGGCCAGACAGAGGACCCTTTATTTGAAAAACTTTCTTTACAAAATACTTAATCTACCGAACTTTTCTAATTTTGCCTTATTTCTTACTCACACAAAACATAATTCCAGTTCTGTAAAAACAGGCATGCCTTATGCTAAGCCCTGGATTTTCAGCCCTCCTTTACCTCGAGCTGAGTGGTCTACAGAAATCATCTTCAGAGGACCACTTAAGCTGGTTTTTCTTTTTTTTTTTTTTTTTTTTTTTTTTTTTTTTAAATCCTCATCCGAGGACATTTTTCCATTTTTTGCACAGACAGAGTGGGAGGGAGAGAGAGGAAGAGAGAGAGAGGGAAACATCGATGTGAAAGGGACACATCGAGTGGCTGCCACCCGCACGACCAACCAGGGCCGGGGACAAACTGCAACCGAGGTACATGCCCTTAGCGGGAACCGAACCCGGGTCTCTCCGGACCGCAGGCGGATGCTCTAACCGCTGAGCCAAACCGGCCAGGGCAAGCTGGTTTTTCTTAACCCTGGCACTCTTGACATGTGGGCTGAACAATTCCTTTTTAAAAACATATATATTTTTTATTGTTTTTAGAGAGAGAAAAAGGGAAAGGAAGCGAGACAGAAACATCAATGAGAGGGAACATCAATTGGCCACTTCCTACATGCCCCCCAACCGGGGATCGGGCCCACAACCTGGACATGTGCCCTGACTGGGAATCGAACCGGTGACCTCTTGATGTATGGGTCAAAGCTCAACCACTGGGCCACACTGGCCAGGCTGGACAATTCTTTGTTGAAGGCACTGTCTCATCCACTGCAGGATGTAGTAGCATCTCTAGACTCTGCCCAACAGATGCCAGTACCACCCATACCTCAGCTGTGACAATCAGAAGTGGCCACAGACACTGCCAAATGTTTCCTGGGGGACACAATTGCCAACTGTTAAGCACCGGGGACTTAGGAAGTAAGAGACCTTCGTTAAGATACAACAGCATAAAGAAAGCCCATAACCAAAATCTGTGTTTAGAACGATACCTAGTGGCAAGGAGGGCAAAGGCCTCCTGGGGACCTGCCCGATTCACCCTCTTTTGGGAGAACATCCTATCACTCACAGCTCTGACAACTGGCCTGTAGGGGACACTTGAGCCAACCAGGCTCATTAAGTCAGATCCCTCTCCAGAATGTGAAATGAGAACCTCAGACAGAGGCCAGTCAGTGCTGGGCACAGAGGTGAGAGCTCCAGGGACGTATGGGTTCAGGTGGCAATTGCTACTTTAAGGAGGCCCCAGAGAGCCCAGCAGCAAAGAAAGAGAAACAATATAAACATGCAAAAAAGTAGAGACAAGGAATATGGGAGCCACAGAGAGCAAGGACTGAGGTGGCCAGTCCTGTCACAAAATCACTGAGGAGAAGCAGCCGTTCTGAAGAGTGTGACATGAACAAATCCAGAGAGAGAAGCCAGGACAAGAGACCCAGGAGCCAGGGCATAATCCTGGTGGTTCTCAGTCCCAATATCAGTCCTTCCAGGGCCCAACTGGACATCCTGTCTTTGGGTTCTACACAATGACCTCGTTTCCTTCCACCACTTTCTAGGAACCAGAGGAAACCTGTTTCTTACTCAAGAGACACATGGAAACTAGGCCAGAAAAGGCAAGTCTAGAAAATGACTGAGGCTGTGGAAAGAAGGAACTAGGGCTCCTGCATAAAGAAAGCCCATAACCAAAACCTGTGTTTAGAACAATACCTAGTGGCAAGGAGGGCAAAGAGACCTTCTCCATCAGCCAGGTCTGGAGCCATATGGTGGAATAAGAAAGTGGCAGATGTCCCCACGGCAGTGGAGAGAACTTACCCAGAGACACCAGGAGCCTGCAGTTTTCCAGCATCACCTCCTGGTACAGCGTCCTCTGGGCAGGGTCCAGCTGTCCCCACTCCTCCTGGGTGAAAGTCACGGCCACATCCTCAAAAGTCACAGACACCTGAACAGTCAAATATAGGTTGTAGAGTTAGTTGGCTGGCCTTGGAGCTGTTGGATGAGAGCCTCAGAAAGAATGATCATCTGTGTCATGGCAAAGCTGCAGACATCAAGGCCCAAAGCACCAAGCATCCCCTGAGGGCAGAGCTCTGTGCTGGGCTCAAGGAGGAGTGAGCAGTACTTTGAACATAATACAATAGTGTAGAAGAGAAGCCTCCTATGCAGTAGCCACTGTAAACTGACATAAAACAATGAAAATGACATGTGGATTGTGAGATGCAGACAAGGGCTCCAGGACGTCGGGGGAAGGTTGAAATAATGACAATGAAACCAATAATGGTATCAACAGATGTACCTGAGCTCCTGCAACTGCATGCCCCAAGCTGAGAACGCTACTTCCTGATTAAAGGGACCAAAAGTCCCCAGTTTGTCTCCTGTGGTTTGCATCCAAACCCTTAAAGCCTGACAGCTGCAAGCTGTGTTACCTTGGAGACATCACTTCGTTTCTCTGAGTCTGTTTCGGGATCAGTAACAATTCCCACTTCCCCAATCACATTTGTGACAGAAGTTATGCAGCACTCAGTGTGCTTTGGGATTTTTATTAACTCTCCCACAGCTCCTGAGGTAAACATGTCATCACTTCTGTGCCGCAGTCAGTGACCCCAGGGCTGAGGAAGTTCCACCGATTCCCCCAGAGTTTTAGGTCTACAGACCAAAGGCAATACTTGAACACAGGTTACTTCCACGGGGTCTAACAGAGTAACCTGAAGCTCCTCCACTATCAATGTGAATACGCAGTAAGGAGGCTGTGAAGCCTTTACACTCATTTTTGCTGTGAAACCCATTTCTGCCACCCTTAAAACTCTACCTGTAAGCAAGGACAGAGGAGCTAAGCCTCAGCACAGACTGCAGGAGAAACACCAGAAGGAGTGAAACCTACCCGGGCTATGTCCAGGCCTGGAGCAGCTCCCCACACATCCCCTGAATCTCCTGACTCCCAGGGGAGATCCCCCAAAGAATCATTAGCCTCTTTCCCTTCCTGAATCCTGACAGCAATGATCCCGGAAGCCAGGACATTTCAGGCCCAAAGAGTGCGAATGGCGAAGCATTAAGTTGGACTCACTAGGGCCTGTTGTGGCTGAGAATGGGTGACACCCAGCTAAAGACCATCCACTGTCAGCCTCCCAGACGTGTCTCGGCAGCTGAGGGAACCAGGGCACCCCTGACCCCGGGGCCTCCTTAAACAACCCATACACCTAGCCTTTGTCCGTGCACTTGTGCTTGGAAATCCCAGTTTCTCTCTGGCCCCAATGCCCAATGTCACCTGCTGGAGGAGGACAGGTGAGCAAGGGTGGATCCCTGGAGGACGCGGTGGGGGTTAGGATTCATAACAGGAGCCCTCGGGGAGATATCATCCATTCTTTCAGCACCTCAGGGACCCTCTGTCAGATACCCAACACCATTCAGGACCGGGGACCAATTAAGTGTCCGCCCAGGTCCATCTGCCAAAACACACGGCACCTGCCAAGTCAAAGCCGGCGGATGTCCCGGCTCCCAGCCCCGTCAGTTCCGAAATCACCGTCCGCTCACCTGCGTGTGGCGGATCGGCGACGCCGCCGCCGCCATCGTGCGCCCCTGGGGTTCGAGCGAGGCCAGGACAGGCGAGCACCCCAGTGTCCTCGTTGCACAGGGCACCGCCCTCGGCGATGGCCCGAGTGAAGGGCGGGCGCACAGGCCCCGGGAAGGCCGCGGCCCAGCCGTTGACCAGAGGACGCACCCGCAGTGGGGAGTCACGGCCGGGGCGCAGGCGCGGAGATGGGCCCTCTCCGCCAACCCTGCTCGGGAAGGAGAGCCGACAAGGAGCCTGAGGCGAAGCCCTGACCGCGCTCTCAACTCCTCAGATGCGTCCGGGACCGAGCCGCAGAGGCAAATGGCGTCGGCTGAGGAAAACCCGGAAGTCCCGCCCACGTACACGGGCTGCCGGAAATACTCCTGCCCTAGGCCGTCATTGGCCAGCGCCACGCTCCAACGCACAATGCACAGCCTTCTGGGTAATGTAGTCCCCCACTCCCGCTTGTCGCCAACGACGCGAGTTGCGCCCTAACCAGAAAGTCATTCTTATAGTAGAAGGCGCACGAACTACCGGAACTGAGGAGAAATCGAGGCTCTGGAGGCAGAGAAGTTCGCCCATTTGGGCAAGTGTGAAAGCGCGGGGCCGGGCCTTGAGCTCGCCTGCTGACTGCCCCACTCCCGTTACCTCCTTCCCAGATTCTGTTCTGGAATGACAAATAAAAAGTAGCTTCGAAACCCTCCGGAGGACGACGCCGGAAGTCCCGCCTCCAAATGTTGCCCACGTTGCGCCCTCGCCTGGGATTTGTTTGGACCAGAACCTCCTTCAGGTGATGCATGAACTTCTGACCCACGCATCTGAGCCCAAATCACCCGAAGAATGAATGGGTTTGCCACCCCCCTGAGATAGGGAGGCCCGAGTGGAGGAGGCCTGGAAGAAAATTCAGGACTCCCGTCTCCAGCGTGGTCGATTTGAAATGTCTGAATCTACAAAGTGCCTGTTAAGTAAGCATGTCAACCCATGACACTGTTGGGGAAGAGTTGGAGCCTGGATATATAAATTTGGGAGTTATCTTAAACTGTTATTTCAAGTCATGACACTAGGTGAGTCCGTCAAGGAAATGAGTGTAGACTGGAGAGGAGAATGGACAGAGCATGAACCCTGGACCAACCCGACTTCGTTAAGTGGTTGATGACAAGAAACCAACAAACTCGTGTTAGGAGTTCTAACATCACCCAGAGGTATATTATGCAATCTTCGAAGTTACCATTGGTTTTTTTGGTTTTTTGGTTTTAATAACTGGAGCGGGAAGAATAAAAAGCAACTCTCATGATTTGAAGATGCATATGGATTGAGAAATGGAATCAGGTGGTGCAGAAAATGCCCTTAAGAGACTTTACTTTTTTAAGATGTGAGAGAAGTATAATGACAGGATGTTAATTAGGTCAAGGAATGAAAAAAAGGGGGGGCGATGAAGAGTATCAATCAGAGTTTTGCAAGAAGTACTAGAATATTTTATAAATATACATGTATGTATACATAAGTGTATATGCATATATATAGACATGTATGTGTAGTATGTATGTAAGAGATTTATTTAAAGGAATCAGCTTATGATTGTGGGCCTGGCAAGTCCAAATCCAGAGAACAGGATGGAAATTCTTCAGCTGGAGCTAATACTGCAGTCTGGAGGCTGAATTTCTCCCTCAGGGTACCCTTATTTTCTTAAGGCCTTTCAACTGATTGGATAAAGCCCACCTATGAAAATAAAATCCTTTGCTTAAAGTCAACTGATTGCAGATGTTAAGCACATCTACAAAATGCCTTCAAAGCAACACCTAGGTTAGTGTTTGATCCAGTAACTGTAGTATAGCCTGGCCAAGTTTGCACATAAAACTACCCATCATACTCCACCCCTTGTCAGTCTTTGAACCATATCTCCAAAAAAAAAGATATACTGTCGTCTAACTAGATTCAATCTGGTATTGATCTATTGTTATAATAGAATAGATCGTATTACATACGATGAATGTAGTATGATCCTCTTGGATCTATTAATCTAATACTAAACTATCTCATACTGGAATGCCATGGATGCACTTGTGACTAACAATAAATTTGATTAGGGCCTTATACCTTTAAGAAAAGAAAAAGATTAAATATTATCAGATAGCCATGCATATTAAGTAAGAAAATCAATCAGAACAATAGACCTTTCAGAGGGTAGGGGCTATTTTTTTCCCCAGTTCTTTGTCTATATTACTCCTCTAAGCATTTACTTCTGCAGGGCTTGGGGCTTGGTGATTAACTACATCTGCTTTCCTTGCAGCTGCAGGGAAACAGGAAATCGTTTCTGTTTCAGAAGAAGTTTAAAGGGCCTATAGCTATCTTTTTTTTTTTTACGAGAGAGAGAGAGAGAAACACTCATTTGTTGTTCCACTTATTTCTTTAAAAAAATTTTTTTTTTAATTTTAAAAATTAAAAAAAAAAATTTTTTTATTGATTTTCTTTTTTAGAAAGAGAGGAAGGAAGAGTGTGAGAGAGAGAGAAACGTCAATGAAATAACATCAATCAGCTGCTTCCTGCACACCCCTTTGTGGGGGTCAAGCCTGAAACCTGGGCATGTACCCTGATTGGGAATCGAACCTGTAATCTCTTGGTACATGGGATGATGCACAATCCACTGAGCCACACCAACCAGGCTGCAATTTCTTTTTTTAAAATGTATTTATTGCTTGATTTTGGAGAGAGAGAGAGAGAGACATCAATTCTACTTTTTTTTTTGTTGATTGCTTTTTGTTAGTCCTCACTGGAGGATATTTTTTCCATTGATTTTTTGAGAGCGTGGAAGGGAGTGGGGAAGGAGAGAAAGAGAAGAGAGAGAGAAAAAAATATCATTGTGAGAGAGACACACCAATTGGTTGCCTCCATTCACACCCGACCAGGGTCAGGGAACAATCCTTCAACTCAGGTACATGTCCTTGACCAGGAATCAAACTCGTGATCCTCCCGTGTGCAAGCCAAGGCTGTAACTACTGAGACATACCAGCCAGGGCTGTTGTTCCACTTCTTTATGACCTGGGATCAGATCAAATCCCCATCCTTTTGGGATGATGCTTTAACCAAATGAGCTACCCAGCAAGGGCCTACAGTTTGTTGTTATGTGAGCCTACTAACGTGACCTCTCGCTTCATCAAGTCTCCAAGGAAGAAAGAAAATCTGCAAGATGGGCCTTTGTAATCTCACGTTAACATAATCACATGTACTCATAACCACATTCATACTATCACCTTTGAGTATTCTGTATGCCTAGAACAAGTTGTAGGTCTGGCCCACACTCGAGAGAAGTCATATAAGAGCTAGAACACCAAGAGGCAGGGATTATGAGGCCCACACTACTCATCTTAGGGTCCATCTTCCACACATTTTAAGAGGTTCAGATTCTTTTTTTTTTTTTTATCTTCACCATTTTTTGTTTAGATAGAGTGGGAGGGAGAGAGAGAGAGAGAAACATCGACGTGAAAGGGACACATTGAGTGGCCGCCACCTGCACAACCAACCAGGGCCGAGGACAAACTGCAACCGAGGTATGCGCCCTTAGCGGGAACTGAACCCCGGTCTCTCTGGACTGCAAGCCGATGCTCTAACCGCTGAGCCAAACCAGCCAGGGCAAGAGGTTCAGATTCTTATAAGAACAGATTCTAGCCCTGGCCAGTTTGGCTCAGTGGTTAGAGCGTCGGCCTGTGGTCCGGAGAGACCCGGGTTCGGTTTCCGCTAAGGGCACGTACTTCGGTTGCAGTTTGTCCCCGGCCCTGGTTGGTCGTGCGGGTGGCAGCCACTCGATGTGTCCCTTCACGTCGATGTTTCTCTCTCTCTCTCTCCCTTCCTCTCTCTCCCTCCCACTCTATCTGTACAAAAAAATGGAAAAATGTCCTCCGGTGAGGATTAAAAAAACAAAAAACAAAACAAAAAAAGAACAGATTCTAGTGCTAGCTTTGGTAGCACAAACACAAAAATTGGAAAAATACAGAGAAGATTATGGCCCCTGCGCAAGGATAACACAAATTTGAGAAGCGTCTCATATTAAAAAAAAAAACAACAACAAACAGATTTTAGCCCTTCTGGCCCAGGCCGGGTAGCTCAGTTGATTAGAAAATTATTCTGATGTGCCAAGTTTGTGGGTTCCATCCTCAGTCAACCAATGAATGCATAAATAAGTACAATAAGAAATTGATAGTTCTCTCTCTCTAAAATCAATAAAAAAAATATACAGACTCTAGTGGGATGAGGAGGGAAGCAGAGAGCAGTTAGGAAGCTATTACAGGAACTCAGAAAGATGTGGCTCAGATCACAATAAGGTGGCGAAAACTTTATATATATATTATATGTGTGTGTGTGTGTATATATATAGAAAGTAATTTTAAAAAAAGTGTTTTCTTTATTGATTTTAGAGAGAGGAAGGGAGAAGGAGAGAAAGAAACATTGATGAGAGAGAACATCGATTGGCCATCTCCTGCATGCCCCCCACTGAGGATTGGGCCTACAACCTGGGCATGTGCCCTGATCGGGAATCGAACTGGCACCTCTTGGTGCACGGGTTGATGCTCAACCACTGAGCCACACCGGCCAGGCATGGTTTTTTTATTGCATGCATTTTCTTGACTCATGTTGTTCCTGACGCATATGAACAGAACACATTGATTTTATGGTTTCTGTTTTTAAAAATATATTTTTAAATGTATTGATTGATTTGAAAGAGAGATAAAACTATTTGTTGTTTCCCTTATTTATCCATTCATTGATTGCTTCTTGTATGTGCCCTGACTGGAGATCGAACCTGCAATGTTGGGGTATCAGGATGATGCTCTAACTAATTGAGGTACCTGGCCTGGGCCTTTCATGGTTTTTGAAAACAAGCTCTTGACTCCCAGGTGAAGGCATTCAGATCAGCTGGAGAAGTTCAAGAATCACCCTTGTGTACTTAAGGGCTTTATAACCGTATTCGAGTTCTTTCCTACTGGTTCTGGTGGATTCCACCAAAAAGAGGGAGAGACCAGCTCAAACCTGAAGTTTGAACGTGTAAACTGACTCATTATATGCTTCCTTTCTCCTGATCTTTTCATAGCAATGTATTCTAGACGAAACCGCACCGTATTCACAGAAGATCAATTGAAAATCCTTTTCAAAGCATTCAAAAAAAATCCTTACCCAGATTTCACTACCAGGCAAAAGCTTGCGTTAGAACTGGACCTTGAACAGTCTATAGTCCAGGTAAGTTACAAGCTCTGTTCCTCCAAGACAAGAAGTGGAAACATAGTGGGGAGGATAATTAATTGAGTATATATTATGTGCCAGTGTGCTAAGGGCCTTGTGTGGAGGACTTTTCTTGTTTTTAAATCCTTACCCCAGGATATTTTCCATTTATCTTCAGATAGAGTGGGAGAGAGGGAAGGAGAGAAGAGAGAGAGAGAAACATTGACTGGTTGCCTCCCACACAACCCCGACCTAGGCCAGGGACCGAGCTGCAACCAAGGTACATGCCTTTTGACTGGAATCGAACCTGAGACTCTCTGGTCCTTGAGCCCACACTCTAACCTCTGAACCAAACTGGTGGGGGCTGGAGTACCTTTTATTATTTATTATTATTTTTTTTATCTTCACCCGAGGACATTTTTCCATTTTTTGTTTAGATAGAGTGGGGAGGGAGAGAAAGAGAGAGAAACATCAACGTGAAAGGGACACATCGAGTGGTTGCTATCCGCACGACCCAACCAGGGCCAGAGACAAACTGCAACCGAGGTACATGCCCTTAGCGGGAACTGAAACCCACCAGGGCTGGAGTACCTTTTTAAAAAATTTTTTAAATTGATTTTAGAGAGAGAGAAAGAGAGAGGGAGAGAGAGATAGAAACATCAATGAGAGAGAACACTGATTGGCTGCGTCCTGCATGCCTCCCACTGGGGATTTGGCCCACAACCTGGGCATGTGCCCTGACCGGCAATTGAACCGGTAACCTCTTGGTGCATGGGTCAAGCTCAACCACTGAGCCACACCGGCCGGGCTGGAGCACCTTTAAAATTTTTTTCATTTTGCCGTGGCCAGTTTGGCTCAGCTCTTAGAGTGTCGGCCCATGGACCAGAGAGTCCCGGTTTCGGTTTCTGCTAAGGGCACATACCTTGGTTGCAGTTTGTCCTCGGCCCCATTTGGAGTGTGGGTGACAACCACTTGTGTCTCTCTCACATTGGTGTTTCTCTCTCTCTCTTCCTACCTCTCTCCCTCCCACTCTGTCTGAAGATAAATGTAAGAATGTCCTCAGGTGGGGATTAAAAAATTTTTTTAAATTTTATTTTATTGAATGTTAGAGGAAGGGAGAGAAAGAAACATGGATCTGTTGTCCCCCTGATTTATGCACTCATTGGTTGATTTTTGTATGAACCCTGACTGGAGAGCAAACCCCCAACCTTGGCATATCGGGACAACACTAACTGACTGAGCTACCTGGCCATGGTTCTTCTTTTTTTAAAAATGTTTTTATTGATTTTTTTAGAGGAAGAGCGAGAGAAAGATCAATGAGAGAAGCATCAATATCGATCAGCTGCCTCCTGCACACTCCTACTGGGATCGAGCCCACAACCCAGGCATATGCTCTGATTGGGAATTGAACCAGTGACCTCTTGGTGCATGGGTCGACACTCAATCACTGAGCCACACCAGCTGGGCTGAGTTGGTTCTTAAATGCATAATAATCACAGCATCTGTTTATTAGCTTAAAAGGGTATTATAGTCCTGGCCAGTCTGGCTCAGCAGTTAGAGCGTCAACACACGGACCAAAGTGTAGCAGGTTCGATTTCAGTCAAGGGCATGTACTTTGGTTGCAGTTTGGTCCCCAGCCCTATTCGGGGTTGTGCGGGAAGCAACCAATCAATGTGTCTCTCTCTCATGGATGTTTCTCTCTCTCTCCCACTCTATCTGAAGATAAATGGGAAAATATCCTCAGGTGAGGATTAAAAAAAAAGGTTATTATAGCAAATAATATCAGAACCCGATTGTGAAGGTGCTAAATACCAAGCCCTGACCTAAGACTTGGTTAAAAGGGGACAGATCTCAATAAGAATCTCGAGGTTAGGCCTGATGAGAATGACTGCCTCCCTGGCTGGTTTGGCTCAGTGGTTGAGCATCAGCCTGTGGACCAGAGAGTCCCAGGTTCGGTTTCCGCTAAGGGCACGTACCACACACACACAAAAAGAATGACTGCCTTTGGAGCAAGGCAGTGATGGGGCTAAGAGGGCATACATCCTTAATTCTCTTTTCCTCACTTAGAATTGGTTTCAGAATCGAAGATCTAAGTACGGAGTCGAGAGAAGGTCAGACTCTGAGGAGGACTTAGAAGCAGGCCCAGACCAAGATCACCCTGTAGAGAGTCCAGGTAAATAGCCTAGTCCAGTCCTGTTCCCCAGCAGAGCCTCTGAGGTATCCAAGTACTTCTCTCCTGTAGTCCATCGAGCCAAGTGCTACTCTGCGCGGGGACAGAATGTTCTGTCTCTCAGGCTCCCCTGGTGGCAAAGGGTTCAACATGGCCCCTGGAAATTCTTCCCTGTGTAGTCCATAGAACTTCTTTGTTTTTGTTTTTTTTTTTATCCTCACCCGAGGATATTTTTCCATTTTTTGTACAGATAGAGTGGGAGGAAGAGAGGGGAAGGGAGAGAGAGAGAGAAACATCGACGTGAAGGGACACATCGAGTGGCTGCCACCCGCACGACCAACCAGGGCCGGGGACAAACTGCAACCGAGGTACGTGCCCTTAGCGGGAACCGAACCCGGGTCTCTCCGGACCGCAGGCTGACGCTCTAACCGCTGAGCCAAACTGGCCAGGGCAATTCACTTTTTTTTTTTTTTTTTTTTATCCTCATTCGAGGACATTTTTCCATTTTTTGTACAGATGGAGTGGGAGGGAGAGAGAGGAAGAGAGAGAGAGGGAAACATCGATGTGAAAGGGACACATCGAGTGGCTGCCACCCGCACGACCAACCAGGGCCGGGGACAAACTGCAACCGAGGTACATGCCCTTAGTGGGAACCGAACCCGGGTCTCTCCGGACCGCAGGCGGACGCTCTAACCGCTGAGCCAAACCGGCCAGGGCTGTTTTTGTTTTGTTTTTATCCTCACCCGAGGACATTTTTCCATTTTTTGTTCAGATAGAGTGGGAGGGAGGGAGAGGAAGAGAGAGAGAGAAACGTCGATGTGAAAGGGACACATTGAGTGGCTGCCACCCGCACGACCAACCAGGGCCAGGGACAAACTGCAACTGAGGTACGTGCCCTTAGCGGGAATCGAACCTGGGTCTCTCTGGACCACAAGCCGACGCTCTAACTGCTGAGCCAAACTGGCCAGGGCTGTTTTTTTTTTTTTTTAATTCTCACTTGAGGATATTTTTCTATTTATCTTCAGATAGAGTGTGGGAAAGGGAGAGAGAGAGAAACGATGATGATGAGCAAGAAACATATATTGGTTGCCTCCCATGCGTGCCCCAACCAAAAACCGAACCCACCACCTTTTTGGTGCACAGGAAGATGCTCAACCAACTGAGCCCCAGTCAGGGTCAGACCTTCTTTCTTTCTTTTTTTTTAAAAAAAGTTTTTTAAAAAATATGTTTTTATTGCCCTGACCAGTTTGGCTCAGCAGTTAGAGCATCAGCCTGCAGTCCAGAGAGACCCGGGTTCGGTTCCCGCTAAGGGCATGTATTTTGGTTGCAGTTTGTCCCCGGCCCTGGTTGGTCATGTGGGTGGCAACCAGTCGATGGGTCCCTTTCGCGTCGATGTTTCTCTCTCTCTCTTCCTCTCTCTCCCTCCCACTCTGAACAAAAAATGGAAAAATGTCCTCAAGTGAGGATTAAAAAAAAAATGTTTTCATTGCCCTGGCCAGTTTGGCTCAGCAGTTGGAGCATCGGCCTGCGGATTAGAGAGTCCTGGGTTCAGTTCCCGCTAGGGGCACGTACCAAAAATAAATTAATTAATTAATTTATGCAGGGAAATGTTTTTATTGATTTTTTAGAGAGAGGACGGTAGAGAGAGATAACATCTATGTGCGAGAGAAACATCCATCGGCTGCCTCCTGCACGCCCCCTACTGGGGATCGAGCCTGCAACTTGGGCATGTGCCCTGACTGGGAGTCAAACTGGGACCTCTCAGTCCACTGAGCCACACCAGTCCGGCTGGACCTTCTTTCTGATACTTTTCCCTGCATGCCTTCTTTCCCCGAAGACCAGCAATTCAACCATAGGTGGTGTCTCCTCACAACCTTCCTGCTAGAAATGGGCTGGGACAAGGTCCTCTCAAGGAGAGGCAACAGGTTCCAAATTAGATGGAGACTGTGAGACATGTTTGGGTTCCTTGTTTGAATCTGTGAACTGATCTCTACTCTTATACCCCCTCTACCCCCGACCTAGGTAGACAATACAGACAGCATCGTATCAGCTACACTTCTTCCCAGTTACACACCCTCATCTCAGCATTTGAGAGCAACCCTTATCCCAATGTGGATACCAGAGAGCAACTTGCTAAGGAAGTTGGGGTTTCGGAATTAAGAATCCAAGTAAGTGATCAGGCATTTGATTGTTCCATGTTGTAGGGATGGAGATGTTTTTTTTTTTTTAATATACTCTCCCGAGGACATTTTTTTGCATTTATCTTCAGATAGAGTGGGAGGGAGAGAGGGGAGAAGAGAGAGAGAGAAACATCGATATAAGAGAGACACATTGACTGGTTGCCACCAACACAACCCCAACCAGGGCCGGGGACAAACCGCAACCGAGATACGTGCCCTTAGCGGGAACCAAACCCGGGACTCTCTGGTCCGCGGGCCAACGCTCCAACTGCTGAGCCAAACCGGCCAGGGCTGCCCTCAGTTGCTTTAATGAATTATCCTTGTTTTATCCACACAGATTTGGTTTAAAAATCAAAGATCTAAGTTCTGCATCGGTAGGAAAAAGGAACCTGAGGAGCCTTTAGAACTGAAACGAGACTAGGAACAAGACCTCTGACACGAGGGAGTTCGAGGTAATCCAGCCTGTTGTTCCCACTTTGGCTCCCGAGTGCCCAGTCCTTCCGCATGGTAGTGCCAACTCCAGCTTTCTCCTGGAGGTGAGACTCCCACTCAAATGCCTTGTCAGGCTCCATGGACTTGGGATCCATCACAGTCCCTGAAGACTCTTTCCAAGTCTGGGCCCTCCCAAGGAATTCCACTGCCTACTTTAAAATTTTTTTTCTTTAAATATTTTTAATTTGGTTTTTTGTTGTTGTTGTTTTGTGTGTGTGTGTGTGTGTGTGTGTGTTTTAGAGAGAGGAAGGGTGAGGAGATAGAAACATTGATGTGAGAGAGAAACCTTGATTAGCTGCCTCTTGCACACACCCTATTGGTGATCGAGCGAGCAACGTGGGCACGTGCCCTGATGGGGAATCTAGCTGGTGCCGTCTTGGCGCATGGGATGACACTCAACCAACTGAGCCACACTGGCTCCTTATGCCCACTTTAAACAGTTTTTTATTGATTGATTTTGAGAGAGAGAGAAAGAAAAACATCGATTCGTTCCACTTATTAATGCACTCATTGGTTGATTCTTAAAAATGTTCTTGCCCTGACCAGTTTGGCTCAGTGGTTGAGCTTTGGCCTATGGACCAGAGAGTCCTGGGTTCGGTTCCTGCTAGGGACACGTACCACGAAAATAAATCAATAAAAATAAAAATAAATGTTCTTTATTGACTTTGGAGAGTGAGCGAGGGAGAGGGAGAGGGAGAGAGAGAAACATGGGTCTACTGCCTCCTGCTCGCCCCCTTCTGGGCTCAAGCCTGCAGCCTGGGCATGTGCCCTGACCAGCGATGGAACCTGCGATCTTGGCTTATTGGGATAATACTCTAACCCACTAAGCTGCTCTGCCAGGGCTCACTGCCCACTTTTCCAGCCGGAGTCCAGGAACCCCATTAAAATGTGAATTTTTTTTTGTTCCCTGATATCTTCCCCGTACTTGGTACCTAGTAAACAATCGATACACTTTTGTGGAAGGTACAATTGAAGTAAAGGAGAAGTGAATCCTCAGGTGTGTTTTGCAGAGGCAGTAGGGTCTGCTTTGGACTGGAAAGGCGGGAAAGGGTCGGCTTCCATTTTGTACATATAACCTGGCTTCTTCGATTCTTTTTTTGTTTCTCCTTATCTTTCCTCCTCAGGTACAGAAATTACACCCAACGGCATCAATCTCATTAGCAACTGTCTTTTTTTCTGTGAAGCCAGAAGAGGGTGGACCAAGAAACAAATCTGTGTATTCGATGTCATCGGCCTGGGCTCTGACGTTCTCTCACTCCTGGGAACACGCCTCTATCATACCTTCAGCTTCTCCAGAAGCTGAGCCGTCCGGAGACAAACGGGACTTCAGGAGGCAGACAGATGCAAGGCACCACGCCAGCCCCGCGTGGCTCCACAGTTCAGCAGATGTCAAGGACATTTACATAATTTACATAATTTTTAAATCGTTATAGCATTGGCAGATTCAGGCAAAAATCATCAATGGATGTGAGATATTAGTGATTTCTTTTTAAAAGTTTTTTAAGCCCTGGCTGGTTTGGCTCAGCGGTTGGAGCGTCAGCCCACGGACTGGAGAGTCCCGGGTTCGGTTCCCACTAAGGGCATGTATCTCGGTTGCAGTTTGTCCCTGGCCCCTGTTGGGGGTGTGTGGGTGGCAACCACTCAATGTGTCTCTCTCACATTGATGTTTCTCTCTCTTTCTCTTCCTCCCTCTCTCCTTCCTTCTCTGTTTGAAGATAAATGCAAAAATGTCCTCGGGTGAGGATAAAGAAAAAGTTTTTTTTTTTTATCCTCACCCGAGGACATTTTTTCCATTTTTTGTACAGACAGAGTGGGAGGGAGAGAGGGGAAGAGAGAGAGAGAGAAACATCGATGTGAAAGGGATACATCGAGTGGCTGCCACCCGCACGACCAACCAGGGCCGGGGACAAATTGCAACCAAGGTCCATGCCCTTAGCGGGAACCGAACCCGGGCCTCTCCGGACCGCAGGCGGGCACTCTAACCGCTGAGCCAAACCGGCCAGGGCGAGGATAAAGAAAAAGTTTTTTAAAAGTATATTTTTACTGATTTTTTTTTTTTTTAATCCTCACCCGAGGACATTCTTCCATTTTTTGTTCAGATAGAGTAGGAGGGAGAGAGAGGAAGAGAGAGAGAGAGAAACATCGACGTGAAGGGACACATTGAGTGGCTGCCACCCGCACGACCAACCAGGGCCGAGGACAAACCACAACTGAGGTACGTGCTCTTAGCGGGAACCGAACCCGGGTCTCTCTGTACTGCAGGCTGACACTCCAACCGCTGAGCCAAACCGGCCAGGGCTCTTTTTACTGATTTTTATTGAGTGAGGAAGGGAGAGGGAGAGAGAGAGAAACAATGATGCGAGAGTGAAATATCGATCAGCCACCTCCGCACGCCTCCCACTGGGGATCAAGCCCGAATCCCAGGCACATGCCCTGACCGGGATTCAAACCAGCAACCTTTCAGTGTATGTGATGACACCCAGCCAACGGAGCCACACCTGCCAGAGCTTTTTTTTTTTTTTTTTTTTTTCCATTTTTTGTACAGACAGAGTGGGAGGGAGAGAGAGGAAGAGAGAGAGAGGGAAACATCGATGTGAAAGGGCCACATCGAGTGGCTGCCACCCGCACGACCAACCAGGGCCGGGGACAAACTGCAACCGAGGTACGTGCCCTTAGCGGGAACCGAACCCGGGTCTCTCCGGACCGCAGGCGGACGCTCTAACCGCTGAGCCAAACCGGCCAGGGCTGCCAGAGCTTTTTAATGAAAAAAAAAAATTAATTGTAGAGAGGAAGGGAGAAGGGGGCAGGGGGGAGAAACATCAATCTGCAGCGTCCTGTATGTGTCCGGACAACCTGGGTTTGTGTCCTGACCGGGAATCAAGCCTGCTGCCTTTTGTTGTACAGGATGAAGCTGTAACCAACCCACACCAACCAGGGCTGATGTTGTGATTTTTAAGAAATATGTATTTGCTCTTCATCGATGAAGCGCCTAAAGCCTTTGCAGTTTCCTGTGATGAGAGCTCTAAATTGTTCCCTTGTTATGTAAGTGAATGACTCCCCCCCTTTTTATTGTAGTTATTGGGGTGACACTGGTTAATAAAATCATACAGGTTTCGGGTGCACAATCCTACAACACATCACCTGTACGGTGCATTGTATGTTCATTACCCAAAGTCAAGTCTCTGTCTATTATCCATCCCCCCCAAGGCCCTCCTCCCCCTCCTGGCAATACCACACAGTTTGTGTCCATGAATTTTTTTCTCCCCCACCCATTTTTTTTGCTCTTCACATCCCATCCAGCCCTCCTCCAGTTGCCCTATATTTTATACATTATGAGACTTTTCTTATCTCTTTGTACCCACAACACCCTCTCAGCATTCATGTACCTACTCATATGCCCCATGGACACCATGTATTTTGCAGGTGGTGTAAGCCTTGGCCACAAGGCTATGTTGCACCTTTAAGAAGACACAGACAGCCCTGGCCGGTTTGGCTCAGCGGTGAGAGCATCGGCCTGCGATCCAGAGAAGACACAGACTAATTCATATGAACTCATCCATGGCACCATCCCCTTACTCTTATTTGGCATCTCAAAAATGAGCTCAGAGGGGCTGAAACAATAAAAGGAACCCACGCATGCCTGTGATACAGATGTCCAGAGGGCCGCTGATATGTGGGATTCAGTAAGGTTCTAGCAGCTTAAACACTGTCGACAAGAACCCAGTTTTCTGCCTCTGTCCACCCTAATTCCACTGTGTGGATGCACTCCTCAGTGCCCACCTGGTGGTCTCCCAGTTTCTTCGGGACAAAACACCACACCACACTATATTATGCAGGGGACGAGAGCAAGCACGTTTTCCCCAGAAACCCTAGCAAACGTCTTCTGAGGTCTGGGTTCTGCCTGGCCTATTACAGTCCTGGGCCAATGACTGCGGTTGAGCTGGAGGCGGGGAGCCCTGACTAGTTAGACTCAGGCGGGTCCCTTCTCAGAGTTGAGCATAAGGTCGGTTCTACCAAAAAATCGTGACTGAAATGGAGGGGGCGGGTCCTCAAGGAAATTCACATTGAGCTGGTGGGCATACATCAGTGGGGACAACAAATCAAAGTTTCTCTCCCTCTTTCTAAAACACCAGTGACACATTTCAAAGGGGGGTGGGGCGTGAGGAAAATTTGGGGGGTGGACAAGTGCACTATCTTGATTGTGCTGATGGTTTCCGGGGACCGTATACATATATCCCCAAAGCAGGAAAATAATCAAATCACATTAAAAAATGCCTCAGGTAGGATAAAAGCACCAATTAAAGAACGAGAAGAACGTGTGACTTGTGGGAAATTCGATTTAACAGGGAAGAACCCCTGGTGAGAAGGGTGAACAATTGAAATCGGTTTACAAAGACCCTTTTGTTAGTTGGCTTCTACCACCATCTAGTGGCCACACATGGGAACTGCCACAA